TTTGTTTAAAGAATCTCAATTTCAACAAATAAGCATTTAAACAAAAACTTATTTAATTTACAGGGTAGAAAAATCTTATAATTTTTCTGTTAAATTTGTTGATTGGCTGATCTTTAAAATTGATAATTTGATTAATAAAACGTTAAGAACGGTTTGACTTTTGAACCAATAATTGATTAATCCTTGATTGCACAAGGACTGTTCAATTCATTCGGAAAGTGTGCGATCATAGACTTAGATATTTTGAATATGATTTGTTCAATATTTCTCGTTTACTCGTTTCTTACTTTGTAAGCTAATCATAGCCTTTTGTTTAAAGAATCTCAATTTCAGCAAATACGCACCTAAACAAAAACTTATTTAATTTACGGGATAGAAAGATCCGTAAAAGGATTATAATAATCTATAATTTTTCTGTTAAATTTGTTGTTTGGCTGATCTTTAAAAATGATCATTTGATTAATAAAACGTTATAGACATGTTAATATAGTGTTCTGGGATGTGTTTGTGTCCATTTGGTATCTGAACACCCAAGGTTCCGTAAAAGGTTATAATAATCTATAATTTTCCTGTTAAATTTGTTGATTGGCTGATCTTTAAAATTGATCATTTGATTAATAAATGTTATAGACATGTTAATATAGTGTTCTGGGATGTGTTTGTGTCCATTTGGTATCTCTAACACCTAAGGTTCCGTAAAAGGTTATAATAATCTATAATTTTCCTGTTAAATTTGTTGATTGGCTGATCTTTAAAAATGATCATTTGATAAATAAAACGTTATAAACATGTTAATATAGTGTTCTGGGATGTGTTTGTGTTCATTTGGTATCTGAACACCCAAGGTTCCGTAAAGGGTTATTATAATCTATAATTTTCCTGTTAAATTTGTTGATTGGCTGATCCGTAAAAGGATTATAATAATCTATAATTTTTCTGTTAAATTTGTTGTTTGGCTGATCTTTAAAAATGATCATTTGATTAATAAAAGGTTATAAACATGTTAATATAGTGTTCTGGGATGTGTTTGTGTCCATTTGGTATCTGAACACCCAAGGTTCCGTAAAAGCTTATAATAATCTACAATTTTCCTGTTAAATTTGTTGATTGGCTGATCTTTAAAATTGATCATTTGATTAATAAATGTTATAGACATGTTAATATAGTGTTCTGGGATGTGTTTGTGTCCATTTGGTATCTGAACACCCAAGGTGATGCGTTATGTTAACCTACCTGCCCAATTTTAAAATATTCGACGCTGCGAGCAGGATTCGAACCTGCGCGGGTAGAACCCATTGGATTTCGAGTCCAACGCCTTAACCACTCGGCCATCACAGCGACAAATGATGAAAAGAAAATCCTAATAGAATTCGAACATAAGAACAAATTTAACGGCCTACGTTTCTAAAGACGACGGGCATACGCCAATGTAGTGTCGTGTAACTGTCAAGGGTTCCTTCCCATACATGTGTATCCGGGACCTCCGAACGATATAAATATTTTTGGTATTATATGGCTTTTATTTTGAAAAATCATAGGTTTGTAACAGGAAAAATCAAATAACAACTAATAAAACAAATACGATGATAACAGAAATATACATTAATTATACAGCCCATTTGATCAAATTTTACGATCCTCGCTGTAGTTCACAGAATTCCATACTAAAATTGTCAAACGGTGGTTCAGATCCGGTTGCCTCTGTAAAACTTTCTTGGTTCGTGTTCGAAGGAGGACTGTTTGTTTCACCCTGAAGATCGCCAATAATACAGTTTACGCAGTCTTGAACTTGCACCCACTTCAATCTTCTGTACATGTCGAAGGTGTCACGTAACCCCTGTACCACATGTTTCCTAAGGATCAGTTGATAACCGCCGCTGATATAGCCTTCATCGCTTCTGGAAGAAATCTTGAAATTAAGTGACTGCAACAGTTCATCTGCAAAGATAAATTAGATAAAAGATGGTAATGAAAAGAATAACCAATTAGAATATAATTATGTTAACCCGTTCAGATATTGCCAGATATCAATAGATTAATCAATATATGGACATACCTAATTGTTGAAGATTTTGCACACTGTGATCGTGCACTTTCAAAAGCGATCGTAGTTTAATTGCCGCCGTCAAACTATCCATTCTGAACAACAGTCGTATTGCAAATAACGAGACTAAGACCGATTAAAGAACAGAAGTGTTTAATGCTCAGTACTTTCTCTACTGGTTATATATAGTGTAGTTAGTTTTCTGAATTTACTCACAAATCAAAAGTAATGATAAGGTTTTACTTTAATGGTAGCCGATGCTCTTCCCTGAGTAAACATCTAGGATGGTCATTACTTTGATCATTATTGATTGATTGCTAATGATATTTCGAACTCACGGCGATCTACGTCTTTGATCTCGAATGATTAAATGATGACCCGTTTATTTCTTTGATGTTACAAACGAAGCCATTTGTACATGATCGACTTTAACCAAAGCCATATGATTGATTGATTGATTGCTAATGCCTTCCTTCTTTGATATTTTGACCACACCGCGATATTCGTCTTTGATCCCCAATGATTAAATGATGACGCGTTTATTTCTTTGATGTTACAAACGAAGCCATTTGTATATGATCGACGTTATAACAGAAACCATTTGCATATGATCGACGTTATAACAGAAACCATTTGCATATGATTATTATTGATTGATTGCTATATGCCTTCCTTCTTGATAAAATGATAACGCGTTTATTTCGTTCAAGTTACAAACCAAACCATTTTTATGTTTAAGAACGGTTTGACTTTTGAACCAATAATTAATTAATCCTTGATTGCACAAGGATTGGTCAATTCATTCGGAAAGTGTTCGATCATAGGCATTGGTAGATATTTTGAATACCTTTTGTTCAATATTTCTCGTTTACACATTTCTTACTTTGTAAGCTAATCATAGCCTTTTGTTTAAAGAATCTCAATTTCAGCAAATAAGCATTTAAACAAAAACTTATTTAATTTACAGGGTAGAAAAATCTTATAATTTTTCTGTTAAATTTGTTGATTGGCTGATCTTTAAAATTGATAATTTGATTAATAAAACGTTAAGAACGGTTTGACTTTTGAACCAATAATTGATTAATCCTTGATTGCACAAGGATTGGTCAATTCATTCGGAAAGTGTGCGATCATAGACTTAGATATTTTGAATATGATTTGTTCAATATTTCTCGTTTACTTGTTTCTTACTTTGTAAGCTAATCATAGCCTTTTGTTTAAAGAATTTCAATTTCAGCAAATACGCACCTAAACAAAAACTTATTTAATTTACGGGATAGAAAGATCCGTAAAAGGATTATAATAATCTATAATTTTTCTGTTTAATTTGTTGTTTGGCTGATCTTTAAAAATGATCATTTGATAAATAAAACGCTATAAACATGTTAATATAGTGTTCTGGGATGTGTTTGTATTCATTTGGTATCTGAACACCCAAGGTTCCGTAAAAGGTTATAATAATCTATAATTTTCCTGTTAAATTTGTTGATTGGCTGATCTTTAAAAATGATCATTTGATTAATAAATATTATAGACATGTTAATATAGTGTTCTGGGATGTGTTTGTGTCCATTTGGTATCTGAACACCCAAGGTTCAGTAAAAGGTTATAATAAATGTTATAGACATGTTAATATAGTGTTCTGGGATGTGTTTGTGTCCATTTGGTATCTCTAACCGTAAAAGGTTATAATAATCTATAATTTTCCTGTTAAATTTGTTGATTGGCTGATCTTTAAAAATGATCATTTGATTAATAAATGTTATAGACATGTTAATATAGTGTTCTGGGATGTGTTTGTGTCCATTTGGTATCTGACACCCAACGACAAATGAAGAATAGAAAATCCTAATAGAATTCGAACAAAAAGTTATAATAATCTATAATTTTTCTGTTAAATTTGTTGATTCGTCGATTTTTAAAAATGATCATCTGATTAATAAAACGTTATAGACATGTTAATATAGTGTTCTGGGGTGTGTTTGTATCCATTTGGTATCTGAACACCCAAGGTGATGCATTATGTTAACCTACCTGCCAAGTGTTAAAATATTCGACGCTGCGAGCAGGATTCAAACCTGCGCGGGTAGAACCCATTGGATTTCGAGTCCAACGCCTTAACATCTCGGCCATCACAGCGACAAATGACCTAAAGAAAATCCTAATAGAATTCGAACATCAGAACAAATTTAACGGCCCACGTTTCTAAAGACGCGGGGCATACGCCAATATATTGTCGTGTAATTGTCAAGTTTTCCTTCCCATACATGTGTATCCGGGACCTCCGAACGATAAACAATTGAATATAAATATTTTTGATGTTATCTACCTTTTATTTTGAAAAATCATAGGTTTGTAACAGGAAAAATCAAATAACTACTTATAAAACAAATACGATGATAACACTGAACCAGTAAAGACAGATCGTTCGTTCTTGCGTAGGGTTTTACGTCCGCTCCCAGCTTGGGGGATATCGCATTTTCATCAATGCTATGATCATGTCTAGGCTAGGTTTTAATATCTGCCCGAGATATACTAAATTAGGCCACGGTTTCTGGCTTCCCAAGTAATTAAAATCAACAAAGGAACGCACACGGCGGAGTCTAGCGTCGTCGTCCGTAAAGATTGGCAAAGTGAAACAATACAGTCCTGTCCTGGATCTCGCTTCGGTACCGTTGGCGTTGGCTATTGAGATTACTTCTAACTGTTACCAATGGAAGCGCACAGTCAAAAGAAAGACATCCCCGTGTCATGATAGAGCCATTGCCGAATGGAACCTATTCTAGGATGTTCCTCGGCGCATATGCCATGTTAATAGATCGACATGTCCGTGTTCTACCATCTCGCAAATGCTGTCATAATATATACATTGTACAATGAGACAAAAGTATCGCACTGGGTTTCGTATAAAGGTATTTCAAAGGATAATAAATATTATCTTTGTAGGGTCAAGGTCGACACCTTTGAATCAGCCTACTGTTACGCTGATAGATATTCATTTATAGTGTCAGCTTTTGATAAAATGACATGCGAAGATTTCCCAAATAATTGATCAGTTATGAATAATTATTTCTGCATAATAGCACTGATTTTGTACAATGTCCATGGCGCACCGACAGACTTATTTCACAGTGCTCTGAAGTGTGGTTACGGGGTAAGTTTATGTTTTAATTCTAAAACGAAAGTAGTTAACACAGTGTAAAATGTTTGGGCCATTTACCGTTGTAAAACAAAACGAGAAATTTCATTATTGTAGAATAATGCACGTTTCATCACATCTTTCTTTCTATATAAAATAAACAGCTTCCATTTGATGATATCACATGTGAGACGAACGAGTTTCCTGGTGTAATCTACGGTGAATCATCGTTGCCAATACATATTAAACATTTTCGTTTTTGCAACGCGAAACAACTTCCATTCCGATAGCGAAATGGAGATTATAATTTATTGCCTGCAAAATCTGGTCTTAATGTTGATGTAATATCATGTATCTGGTACATTATAATAGTGAGTGAAGGGGGATCGCACTACACGCAAACAGAACCAATAAGACAAACCTTCGTTCAAGACATTGCAAGAAAATATTAAAAAAAATATCAAATCAAGTGAATGCAGGTATAATCTCAGATAGTGAATTCTGTCATATTTCCTACTATTACAACGATATCGTATCGAAAGGTTGTTATTACTTATTATCTAGTTCAATACGCAACCTGATTTTATACTGGCTATTTTAAAATAGGATAATACTGAATAGGTTAGTTCATACAGTGGAACTATTTTCCCACATTGTACCGAATGTTTGTTCAAATTCATTGGACTAGTTAATCAAGGTTGGCTAGTAACCATGTGAAACACGAGATGTTAAATGTGTTAACATTTATTGTGTAGAGTTGGAATCCCTTAAAAGGATGGGGTGGCAAATATAAAATGTATTAGTTTTAATCTAGTTCAAGGTGGGATAATGTAATCTTTATCGATATTTATTTGCGAGAGTTGTAACCCTGATAATGATGTTGGAGGGGGGGGGGGGCAAATGTACAAGTATATCAATATTTGTTATTGGACAGTTGTAATCCGGTTAAAGATGGGGTGATCAAATTATCTAAATCAATATTTGTTGTTATAGATTTGTAATCCGGTTAAATATGGGATGATACATGTAATCTATATCAATATGTGTTCTTGTACAGTTGTAATCCGCTAAAGGATGGGGTGATTAATGTAATCTATATCGATATTTGTTATTGTAGAGTTGTAATCCGATTAAAGATAGAATGATAATTGTAATCTATATTAATATGCCTTGTTGTAATCCAGTTAAAGATAGGATGATAATTGTAATCTATATCGATATTTGTTGTTGTAGAGTTGTAATCCGGTTAAAGATGGGATGATAAATGTGCACCTGGTACCACATACACACGATGACGTTGGCTGGTTAAAAACAGTAGATCAATATTATTATGGAGGTTTTAAAATTTATTATTCTTAAAATAATACTAATTATCCGTTAACTTTAACTATTAGTTGTCTTGGAATACGACATATATAAAGTCATGTGTTTAAATATACTACAGTACTACAAAAGCTCGTTCGCTATGTGAACTACTCAAATTGCCTCAAATTGTTTAAATACGAAACATTTGGATACAGCCGCGACCTTTGTGTCTACATCAGCAAAGGAAATAAAATTTTGTGAAGATGTAAACTTTAACTTTTATATTACTGCCACATTTTCAACTGTACGTGTGACCTTCAAGTTTATCATTTCTGTTGCGTTGTCACTTTATTATCATTTAATATCAGCTAAAATCTCGATATCAGTTAAACATTCTCAAACGTAAATGGTGGACTATGTATTGATGATAACGTTGTTTGCCTTTGTGTTAACAGTTTGTTTTATAAATTCGAAACCAATGCTCAGATTCGGCCAATATTTTACATCAAAGCTATTAGAGCAATAACAAGAAATGTTTAATATTCCAACGGGCCTCTATGTTTTAGTTAGCTTTTTCATTAACAATACACTAACAAAGGGAGGGGTGGTGGGGAATGGTTAGCGCGTGCGCGCTGTTATCAAAAGGTCTGTCATTGAGTCAAATGGCGTGGCGTTGTTCCGATTCCCCGGTTGTACGTAACAAGGAGTAGGGTCGCCTGTCCAACCTTGTGGGTTTTCTTCGGGTCCTCCGGTTTCCTCCCACTGCTAAAAACCCCTACGCGCAAGCGAATTATTGAATAAAATTGAACCAGATGTTAGTCTCGAAATAACCTAGTTTGTGTCGAGTGGACTTTAAACCCAATTTCTCTCTATCGCCCACAAAACCAAAGTAGTCCCTACTAAAATATTACATGTCCAAATTTTTCAGATCATAATGATATCGCATTGGCGGGAGTACAATATATCCTAGATTCCGTTATTCCACAGCTAGTCAGTGATCCATCTAAAAGATTTATTTATGTAGAAATAGCATTTTTCTCAAGATGGTGGCGAGAACAGACGGACAGTATGAGACACGTTGTCAAGGGACTAGTAGCAGAAGGTATAAATACAGCTTATTATGTTATTTTGGTTATGTCGGTTTCCATGCAAAGTGATATCGAAGTGATTGGTTTCTGAACCAGTCGTTGGCTGGCTGTATATGGGTCCACGCTCAAAACCGGCGAATAGGTTATAGACACCTAGCTTAAAGCCCCAGTTCCAGTGTGGCTAGTAGTAACATGTTATTGTTTTGTCACAGTAATAATAACACTTCTCTATATTCTTAGCTAGTTACTTAATAGTAAGTGCAGGAGGACTCCAAAACAAACCTGCGAACAAGATAAACTGCGTAGACAATGCCAGAAATAATCAACAAATATCAAATCAAGTGAATGGATCGGGAATCATGTCAAATCTCCAACGTATATGTTTATACGTGCATGGATTAAGTACTCTATCTAATATATAACTCTTCAAAAAAAAGTAGGGGATACGGTATTCAGAAACAATACAAAACGGCGGAAATGCACTGCTGTTTTTATTAGAGGTAACCAGTGTATGTTAATAACTGGCCAATTGCCTACACAGGAACATAAATAGTTCATATGGGCGGCTTATCTGACGGCCCCATTTCACTCGCAAAGAGATACACTGTCAAAAGTGAAAATGGACGTTTTTGATTTTTGTCTTAATAATGAGTAATTGCTCCACCAATCCCCAGACATTCAGGAATTCGTTGTGGCACGCTCCTAATCAACCGTCCAATCACGATTTGAGGCAATTTGACCCACTCCTCTTGCAGTGCCACGGCCAATTCTTGCAGTGTTGTCGGTTAACATTGACGCCGACGAACAAGTCTCCCGATCATGTCCCAGACATGCTTTATAGGGGAAAGGTCAGGACTCATGGCTGGCCACGGCACATGGACAATATGGTGACGCTGGAGGTAGTCAGTCAAGACACGAGCGCGGTGGGCACTGGCATTATCATCTTGAAAGATGAAACGTCGACCTGCACATTGAGCAAAGGGCAGAACTATCGGTGCCAGGATGTTGTCACGGTAGTACACACCCGTAACCCTTTATTGTACAATATGCAAGTCCGTTCTGCCTGTCATGGTGATTCCTCCCCACATCATAACAGACCCACGCCCGAATCTGTTTGGCGTTAAAGTTAGCATGACGCTTATTTACACGCCTCCAAACGCGAGCACGCCTATCGATCAAATTCAGAGTAAATCTGTTGTGTGAGACTGTGAGAGGATATCTGACAATTCATAAAAAGAATTGACTACCACTAGATAAGATAACACGAAAGAAAAACAGAAAAAGTCCGTGCATTACCATGTTTTTATAAGGTATTGAATGAATATAAACACCCGTAAATGTACGGACTGTTTCTATTTTTCTCGTGTTCTCTTATCTAATGACATACAATTACTTTATTGAACTGTCAGGTATCCTCTTACAGTCCCATATAACAACTTTTGGTCTTCGAAGGAATTATTAGTGAGCAGAAATTCGGCCGTGTATCTGTTATAACTCGTCACATTAGTCAGTTATATAGAGAGATGACTCGTGTTTTCCTTTGGCGTTCGTCACTTCCGATTCGGGAAACCTGTATTACTCCGCTATCGTAGCAATGATCTCTGTGTTAGAATTATATTTGGAATGTGTTTAACCAGCTCTATCACATATCTGATGATGACTGGCACCAATATTGTCCTTTAAGCATGTTGGCTACTGCTCGCTGTGTAGAACCCATTTTAAGCATGCCAACATCACGTAGACGTTCATCATGTTGAAGACGTCTCATTTCAAATTAAACGTAACACACTAAAGCAAAGATACGCTAAAAGGTAAATCTTATGCAAGAACCGATAGGAAAGCAAACATGGATAGGATAAACCAGCACGCGGCAGTGTTCATTAACCCTTCCTTGAAGTGTCAAATTTGACAATGAACCCTCCCACTTGTATGGCGCTATTGCGTGTCGCACGTGCATACTCTCAAAGCATTCAAGTGGCCATGACTATTTATCATATCACAACGTGCATAGGTATTTGCATTTCAATATCCCCTACATTTTTTGAAGAGTATATAATTGTGAACTGGGGGGGGGGGGGCATGGCGATATGTACCATTATTGCGAACTTCACATCTCTATTTCAATTTCAGGGCGTTTAGAGTTTATTTTAGGAGGATGGTCAATGGACGATGAAGCGACCACTCATTACAATGCGATCATTGATCAGCATACTCTTGGTTTTGACTTTCTGCGTCAAAACTTCCAGGACTGTGGTCGTCCTAGGGTAGCCTGGCAAATCGACCCCTTTGGTCACTCAAGAGAACAGGCCTCATTATTTGCCCAGGTAAAAAAGATGTAGACCATATTTTACAACCTCAAGTCTATTTAATAATATGATGTGTACTGAAATAGGGCTTAACCATGAATACGTGGCAATGCAGTGAAATATGATGGGATTTTTCAAGAACAGCTGAGTTTCCGAACAACACTTCGCTAATTTCAACTGAAAATAGTTCTTTTGCATGCATGCCAACGAGGGGCCTTCTCGGCAAACACCTCTGGTTAAACATGCATTATGCAAGAGCAAAATCTGCTTATTACAAGTCCTTCTTTAGACCTGAAATGTTATCTAAATTATCAATTAGACATTAATTAACTTATCCAGACCATAATAAACTCTCGATGCCAAGGCTTGCCTTCGATGTTGGCTGGATTAGATTCCTATATGCCGCTTAACGGCCATTGATAATTAAATCAAAACAGTGGACTATCGAAACTATTCTGTTTATATTAATGATTTTAGTAATGATGACCGAGACTATGCGAAAATTTCACCCACCTTCGTTCTCGGCTCATAGTGGATCAATTTGACTGAAATTTTCAGCAAATTACCTTTACACTATCTAGTTTTTAACTATTATAGCGAGAACTGCCATCTCTTTATCTTATCTCCCATAATGTATCTTTAATGAACCAATAAAATAACATAAAAGACGATATATGTTTTTGAAGTCTGATCATTTCGTGGGTTTTGTAATTAAACACCGATTTTTACAGATGGGATTCGATGGTCTTTTCTTTGGACGACTCGATTATCAAGATAAAGCAAACCGACTAAACAAAAAGACAATGGAAATGATATGGAAAGGGAGTCCTAAAAATCTGGGTGAGTTTTATTTTAGATCTTAGTAATAATATTTACCATCAACTATTGAGAACTTTCAGAATTTATCATTCATTCAACCGTCCAATATTCGCCTTTTCCTTAATATTAAATTATGTAATCTATTGAGAACATACCTTCATGGAATTTTTTGAAATACAGTCTGAAAATTCTATGACGATTTGGGCTGATATTGTTCTTCTCATTTTAGGACAAACATCCGAGCTTTTTACGGGTGCTTTGTTTAATCAATATGGCCCACCTGCTGGATTTTGCTGGGACTTTGATCATTGTGATAGTGGCCCAATTATGGTATGGTAATAAATTTAAATATAATTGTATTAAAATACTTACATTTATTATTATTGTGACATTAAAATGTTTTCATAAATTTACAATGTTGAAATCTATTGGAATATTGTTTGTTATGTTTGCCAACTTTTGCCAAGACTGTCCATTATTACAAGGTTAAATTTGGTGAATGTATTATTTTAATAACAATTTTTACTAAATTTAATTTTTAATAGGATGATGAACGCCTCCATGACTATAACGTGCCTACAGTATTAGCAGATTTGTTTAAAGCAGTTAGTGACCAGGTAGGTGGAAGTCATCATCATCACCTTCTTCATCATCGCTATGTTTTTAGTATTATAATTATTTACCACTCATCATCATCAAATCCTGATATAATTGTTCATGTTCTACCATTTCAGGCAGATCACTATCAAACGAAACATATTATATGGACAATGGGTTCAGACTTTCAGTACGATAATGCCAATGTATGGTACAAAAACATGGATAAGTTAATCAAATACGCAAATGCTCTGGTAGGTGAATAAACATTTGGTACATTTTCCGGTTCTAACAGGATATGACGGCCTAAAGAAAGCAACCATCTTCTAAATGCCATTAAAAGATTTTGATATTTTTGTGTATGTTTATATTCCATAAGACATTATTGTAAAGACATTATGTATGCAGTCTTTTTAATATCGGTTTTAATTTAGAAACCAATATTTAAAAGATGATATTTTATATTTTAATATATAGCAAGCTAATGGTAGTACTATAAATCTGTTATATTCCACACCATCATGTTATTTGGATCAATTGAATAAAGCTGGTTTAAAATGGACAACAAAGGAAGATGATTTCTTCCCTTACTCTAATGATGCTCACAGTGTATGGACAGGCTTCCTTACTAGTCGACCGACATTAAAATTTTACGTCAGGAGAACTAATAATTTTCTCCAGGTAAGAGCAATACACTCGTGAAAATATAAAACGGAATTTAATTTCTAAGATATCAATAATCAAGGGAAGAACGCTTGATTTGTCTTCTATTGATAAACGAAGCCCATTAAAGATGCATTATGTAAAGGCTAAATCTACCCATTGCAGTTCTATCCATTGTTATATATATGAATTATTATTTAGTCATTTATTTACATGACAACCCCATAATCAACTCTCAAGGCAATCGGATTGGATATATATTAAATGAATTAGAACATCTGTGCCATTTAATAATTTAACGTTCAAATGGGTAATCGAGACTTTGTTTACTATCAAGACTATTTAGGCTGCATCTTGTCCAAACTTCTAACAACATCCATAACTTGGCTCGGCAAAAGTAATTTGATTGATTCATTTTTTTTTAAAGAAAATCCATCTGTAGACTATGATAGCAAGAGCTATTTATCTAAATCTTACTTACTTATCTTACATATAAAGGAGAGAGAGAGAGAGAGAGAGAGAGAGAGAGAGAGAGAGAGAGCGGTGGCTCAGTAAGTAAAGTTCTTTCTTGCTAATCAGTATTTGTCGGGTTCGCTTCCGGTGTATTTCCCTGCGCGGTTTCCATTTGTCAGTGGCCCAGAAGAGCCTGACAAGGACAGATGTCTAGTCGTTCGGGTGGGTAGAAACCCTTAGGTCCCACGTAGACATTGGCGTACACGTGAAAGAACTCTTGGCAGTTGCAATCAGAAATAAATGTACTCACTGGCGTGCACTTAAAAAACCTTGGGAGTTGGAATTCGGAATAATAGTAGACCCTAGTGCCTTCGTTAGCCCATTCGGTGCAGAAAGGTAGGACGTTAAACCCCATTCCATTTCACTTCATTATATTTCAGGTTACAAAACAAATGGATGCACTGGCCATGTTAGAAGATACAGATAATAGTACTTATAATATAAATATTTTAAGTACGTATAAGAACATTTATATCTTTATTAAAAGAACGCGAGTTTTATTATGGACTATATTTTAGTTAAAATAAGGCGAACAATTTTGAGTAAATTCTTAACTTGCTTTATGAACTTGGGGCCAGATCTTTCATTATTCAATTTTGACGTCATAACAGTGGGCTATTGTTGATAAGAGAATCTTCAGGAAACGACATTGCTTTTTGGGGGCATGCTTAAATATACTATAAGTTACCTATAGTCTGAATTGCTTTGGGTATAGTGTTTTAAGTTTTAAGTGTTAATGTAATGTTGTGAAAGAGTAACGTAATTTACAGTAGATCGCTGAATATTTGATAATTTTCCTTGCTGTAAAGCCAAAAAGAGACCGGATCTATTAACATCTCTCTAAGTGATACTAATAGAACAAATTTAAATCAAAATTTAACGTCCTCGATATTCTTTTTTCAGAGGAAGCTATGGGTGTTGCTCAACATCATGACGCAGTATCGTAAGTTTAAATCTTAATTTCCTTGTGTCATAATTTTCTGGCGGATGTATAATAACTTTATGGTAAACTCGGAGTAATAACCACTAAATATATGTAATGTTCTTCATAGGTCATAACTTTGATTAAGACAAAATTAAAATGTGAGATTGGATGGATGTATCCCTTGTGTTATTGCCTTCAACTAGTTTCGTTTTATGATTACGGGTATAACAGTTTTAATGCCCAGACACTTTTATTTCTCGTGTAAATAAAGGAGGGTATGTCATTTTAAAGACACATTTCCTTAGTATTTGAAAACAAATGTTCAAATTACCGGAGAAATATATCTTTCAAGATACTTCACGATACGCGATAGAACAGTGTATCAACATGAAATGCCCAGATATCAACGGCCCTGATAATGGTTGACATTCGGTACCAATTAACCAATTTCATTCATGTGCAACGATATCAATTTTCCACGTCTCTAGAAATGTCATACTTTCAGATAAAAATGAGAGGAAAAGAAGATGACTTGAAATAAAATTGAATCATGTGTTAGTCCCGAAATGACCTAGTTTGTGTCGAGTGCACGTTAAACCCCATTTCTCTCTCTCTATCGCCTGTCATTTGCTTGTATTTCTTATTACCAGAGGAACAGAGAAACAACCAGTGGCCTATGATTATGCTACAAGATTAGCGAATGGTGTCAACGAATGCCAGGTCAGTTATTACTATGTGTTTAAGAAATCTTCGATTATCCATGCAAACACTGGACGCAGTATGACTATACTGGACATCATGAAGCGCGATATACGGTTATATATGGTTTCTGAATTGTTTATTTAAAATAGTTCCCCTGATTAAATAGTTCCATTGTACAGCGCAGTGGACCATCACAACTTGTCCCCGGGTCCCTTCATTTGTTCTGATATTGGTTGATGTGTATGTGTAGTAGTGGACATAATGTCTTGTCCGTAGGTTTTGTCCTATGTAATTGTTTATGTGTGACGCGGTCCTCCTGCACTTATATAGCTAGTTTGTATTAAATGGCTGGACGTTAACCCCAAGTTATCAGTCTCTTCCTGTGAAATACACAGACTAATTGATTAATTGGACATGCTACCCCTATAAACCCGAGATGAAATAATGCGATTTTTTTTAGATGTATCTGAAACATATTTATGCTAATTCTGCGCATCTTAAATCTCTGATTATTTCGCAAATTTTACCAGGATCTGTATTAAATTTTGAATTTCAGAAAGTTATCAATGATGCTTATGGTAAACTAATGCCACTAGGGAGCCAGAAACCACCGGGTCACCAATTCTGTACTCTGTTAAACATTAGTTCTTGTTCTGTTACAGAGAATAATAAAATGGTAAGCTTAAGTAATCTTCTTTGACAGCCTTGAAGAAAAGTATACTAATACGGGAGCGGCAGTGGCTGGGTCACTAGTCTGGAGATCCCGGGTGGTTTTCCGTAGTCAGCTGTGTAGGACAGAGGGTGGGGGTGGCTGTATAACCTAGGTCCTGTGTGTACACTGGTGTGCGCGTAACAGGACCCTTGACAGTTGACATTCGAAAAAAAGAGTAGGCCGTAGAGCCGCTGTCAGAGTAATACCCCCCCCCACATAGCACACTGCATAGCTTATACTGATCTTCATTAACCAGCAGAATAATTAATAACTAGCAGCAACAGTACAATTGTGTAATACCCCTTTGTTAAAGTATATCCAAGTACTTTAGTAATAAACAGTTGAGGTTTTTATAATTTTGTTTTTGGTGATGATTGATTGTCAGTATATTAAATAGACAAACTGTAGTAAATATGTAAATTAAAACAGTGTATTACAAATCTGATTTCTTTGAAAGTTCTTTTCAGCAGCAAAGGGTAATATTTCGACGTTGAAGATGCGTACAGGTATATCTATATACTGTCAACAGTTAGATTTGTTATACGCCCACGTTAAAATGTAATCGTATATCATCGTCGTCCCACGCCGTCCGTCCTTCTATGGGTCTATCTACATTAAATATATATGTGTCATTTTCATTGCGACGAATACAATTACAACGAGCTACTCATGTTCTTGATTATGTTATAGAATCTCGTCAATGCTCCAATTATGTTCCACGGTGTACAATTGTTGTGTTTTATGTAGCTAAAACATGTGGCCACCTTTATTGACTAATCGAACAACATATATTTCAAAAGATTTAATGTATGTTTAGTTTCAGTTGCACATTTACAACCCGATAGCTAGACCAGTCGAGTATTATGTTAAACTACCTGTTGTTGGTAAACTATATTATGTTATTGGACCAGACGGCATAGCTATTGAAACACAGGTACGTAAAGAAACACGGGTAGGTTAAGAAAGAGAGAGAGAGAGAGAGAGAGAGAGAGAGAGAGAGAGAAATGGGGTTTTACGTCTATTCGACACAAACTAGGTCATTTCGGGACTAACATATGGTTTTAATTTTATTTCAATAATTTGCTTGCGCGTAGGGGTCTTTAGCAGTGGGGGGAAACCGGGGGACCCGGAGAAAACCCACGAGGTTGGACGGGTAGGTTAAGAAACATGGATACGTAAATGGTAATCCTTCAAATATAATATACATGTAAATAATTATCGGTTCAAGAATATTTATTTGAAATCTATTAAAGACTAACTGCTTAAAGATTTTTGACAAGAAATTATGTTCTGTTAGTCGAGGGATGCTTGTTTTTAGTATGACGTCATATGGTGGGGCAGGCTTTCCCCAATTAAATAGAGTTAACCAAGACGTAACAAATTAACTCCTTGTCATAAAATAGACAAAGAAAAAATGCAGGAATTTTATAGGAATATTTTGATTGAAATATTTTACTCTTTTAAAAGCTTCTTCAAGTTCAGCCGATTATTCTTATCTTACAGTGCACGAGCTGAAAATTAAAAAGCGTCAATAAATTCGGTTTATATGATTTATAATCTAGACGATGCCGATTCCGTTTTACATGTTTCAGGTATTGCCAATATCTCCTGACACAATGAGGATACCAGAAAGGAATGGATCATTGGCGACAAATGAGTTGATCTTTCCTACAACATTACAACCTTTAGGTTTTACAACTTACTTTATTCAAATGGGAGCAGGTAATTCTCTATTTAGAAGTTTTTATTTGTATTGTGTGAGGTGACTTGAATTGACGAAAACAATAGAAATTCTCTGCAGTTTTTTTGTTACTGTTTTGAAGCTTTCAAAAGAATTTCCATAGAATCCAAGTGGACTTTGATTATAAAGAAAATAACTCTTTGGCAGTTTATTTTGAAATTTGAATAGTTCACAATAAAAACCACAATCTGACGCAGCGAAAAGCGAAAAATGTTACAAGGATTGCACACATGCCCGATTATAACATTTCAAAAAATAAATACAAGGTATCGATATCAAGAACAATAACTCTGTACATAATTGATATGCGGCTCATAAAGTCATGTGATAGGACATCCAACAGCAAGTTTGAAAACATTTGAACAAAGCTGACTTTCCAATGGATTACTACAAGGAATTGGAAGTGTATAGACTCTAGTCATGGGTCATTAATAATATGTGATTTATTTTTATACAGATGAAAAAACAAAACAAAACCATGCTACCAAAATAAAACACCTTTCAAAATTAGGGGACGGTGACGACTTCGTTCTAGAGAATCTGGTAATAATTATTAATTATACATTCATCTGTATATTGTAGTTAGAAAATGTGTTTCAACATAAATAATAACTTGTTTGCTTTATTGGCTAACAGCATTCAATTTATTTAGACCACAACGAAACAAATACATGGAGGACCGCCGATATATATCATAATGTCTAGCATGGGTCAGGTGACGGGATTCCGATCCAAAGCTTGTACGTGACAAGGAGTGGGTCGACTGCCCAACTTCGTTGGTTTTCTCCGGCTCCCCCTTAAGACATTTACGCGCATGCGAATTATTGAATATTTTAATCCGGAATTAAGCTAGCTTTTGACGAGTGGATGTTAAATCCAATTTTTCTCTCGCACCCACACACACGGCTTTGGGCTTAGCAATGTGAAATTTAAAAAAATATATACCGATATATGCAAGTCGATTTTAACTAGGTCAGAAGTGACATTAATTTTTATCTTAGATAAATCTAGCTTATGGTGAAATTTGTCTAGATCCAAACTGTTTAGATAATTTATTTTAAATGTAAATGGATTTTTTGCCATATTTCAATAGGCCTTATATACGTTGAAGTTAAAGAATTTTATTTTGATCAAAATAGGCCTATTTACCAAGTGCTTTTAAGTTCCGTAGCTAGAACATTGGCTTAGTAATATGAAATAAAATAGAAAAAAAATAAATATACATTTGCAAGTTGATGTTAACTACCCAGAAGTGATATTATTTTTTATTTAGTCTAAAGTCATAACGTTTCCACAGACGCGATGCCGATTGTCTGTTATAGCAGCAGACCTTATTATTTATTACACCATAGATGGTTCATCTTATTTTTTTTATCAATGAAATATTAATATCATTGCAAATTTCGACAGCTATTCTAATGAAGACACATGCGGACTTAGCATAAGGCTGTGATGTTCGAATTCAAACTTTTATAAATCGGCTATCAAAGTCCTAGCTAGGCCTACCAATACTGTTGTTGAAAGGGCGCCTAGCTCTCATTCCATGACCATTCTACCGTTATCTCTATTACTACACACAACAGGACAGCACCAAGTGATCATGATAAATAAGCAAACATATGCGTATCAAATGAATGAGAATCTGCAGGCTTCTTACTGTTACTCTTTATCATATTCCCGCCTTCTGTCTGAACCGGATATTAATGCTGGTATGTTATCTAGATTGGACATGCGCGCGGTCTTAGTTAATATATATATATATATATATACGTCATTATGTCAGGGCATAATTTCTTTCAGTGCACACAGTATGGCGCATCCCCGTCTTCGTTAGCCCGGATGGCGCAGAAAAGTAGGACGTTAAACCTTATTTCATTTCACAGCACGCTAGCGTATTACTAAAATATATTTTTCTTATTTCAGTTTATTTCTCTGACATTTGATATTCAGACCGGAAGACTTAAAAATATAAAGAACAAGCGGAAGAATATTTCTGTTAACATGACTCAAGAGTTTCGATACTATTACGGTTTTGATGGAAATGATTCAAAAGACGAGCTTCAACCCTCTAACTCATATATATTCCGCCCTAATGGTACACAGAGTTATAACTGCTCTACCCCTTCTCTGACTACTAAAACATATTATACTGAACCGGTAATATTTTTATAACATTTACATCGCCATCTATTTCAATTTTGAAGCCACGGTAGCTATAGCTGCGTTTACTCGTGGCCATAATCAACTTGGTGTTCAAGACATTGCACCGTTGGCAGGCACACTAAATGTGGAACTCTTTACAACACAGTTAAAAATCATGAAAAAATGATTTGATGCTTATCTTCAATGAGTCAGCAGTCTCACCAATACGAAATGGGACGAAAGCAAATAGTCACATTGTTAAGACATAATATACAGCTTTGGTAGTATTGCAAGTTAACAGGGGAAAGGTGTCAAAGGGTCAAATTTAATACAAAAGCATGCGCAAAAATCCGTACCTGGAACCATCCTGAGACCGGATAGTGTTTACTCTATGAAAAATTAACCGTTCCATTCTCTGGAGCGCTACTGGTACGCTTAAATTTTGTAATGTAGATTTGGTTAATGTGAGTATACACTGGCTCACTAACCAAGAGGTGTCCGTGATGGGCGACACAGTTACTGGGGAATTCAGAGCCTGGATGTAGAATAGCCAACCTCCAAGCCGTTTTCAGTGATTTTGGTATATGCATACTTTACATTGTGCACTATGTATGCATGCAATCATATCTGTAGGATATAAAACAATTATTTCATATATTAAAATAGAATAAAAAGGGCTACAAGATTGGCCCGTTTTAGGAATTTTTCTTCCAATGAATACACTCCATTCCATCATGTAAAAGTCTCAAGTTTTTGTATGTTTTTTTTTTTAAATAGATAGTCGAAACATAGGGGAAGGGGCGTTTTAGTATGTTCCAGCTTACCGCCAACCCTCAGATTCTAGTTATCTGAGATTGGTTAATTCTATATGTAATCAACCAATGATATAATGTTTAAAATATATAAAATAATTGAAGTAATAATTGAAAGGTCTTTTTAATAGGGAGAATTGGTTCAGGAACTGCACCAGACCTTTAGTCCCTGGGCTACTCAAACAATTATTCTATATGAAAATGCCAGATTTGCTGAGTTCCAGTGGACCGTTGGACCCATACCGATAGAGTAAGTCTCCTTTAGTGCGCTATTTGATTTACAATCTAGGCAAGATTCACCTATCTGTGGGCTCTGGACCCAATTAATCAGTGGGCCCTCTACATTTATAAAAATGTTGGCATGTTGCTTGTTCCTGTTGTTCATAGTGTACTTAGATATGGTGTTACACATATCGTCTGCACAGAAAACATTTTACCAGCTTAAGGTGGTACTATAAAAAAACAGGGAAACTGGATCAGGACCTCTTCCAATTTGGCTATGACTTCGCTTGGTAATCTGCATCGGGTTCTTTATTCTTAGCAAAATAATCATTTCATATGAACTAACGTGTATAGTAAGACCACGCCAATTTAAAATTGTGTTATCCGGGAACACCTGAAAATCATGCCTCCAATTTATTCAAATATTAATAAAAGAACATCGCACACAACAATTGTGTGGGTCATTTATTAACCAAGAACTCTAATAACTTATATTTCAATTTTATGGGGGGGGGGTGTTAGATGGCCGTATGGTTAGCACGAGCGCGGTATCATAAGGTTACACTTTTAGGTTCTTTGCATCCGTTCTGGATGGCAACACTAGTTTAACTTCATATAATACTTTTATACTGGCATAGCTTGACTTGACACCCTTGTGTGTCAACTCCCAAATAACTTACCTGGCTCCTTACCGGTCTTAACTGAGACGCTCTCGCATTTTTAATAATCTCCTTGAATTCCTGCTTAAAACCCCATTTCTAGACAAATGATGATCAAGGAGATTATGCAACTGGCTATATTGCATCATAACTCAGACCAGGGGTAGTAACTAATGACTTCTACGTGGCAGTTGGCCGTGTCAGACAAGTGCCAGGGTCGACCATCTGTGGGTCATAATCTGATAAGGATGTTTTAATCGATTTCATGTATGGAAGTTGTTAAGTGACATGTTCCTGAATAATTTCAATTGTGAAACAGTGGTTTCGATTCGCCGATTGTACGTGACAAGGAGTAGGGTCGCATGTCCAACATCGTGGGTTTTCTCCGGATCCTCCGGTTTCCTCCCACTGCTAAAGACCCCAACCCGCAAGGAAATTGTTGAAATAAAATTGAACCATATGTTAGTCCCAAAATGACTTAGTAAGGGTCGAGTGGACGTTAAACCCCAGTCCTCTCCCTCTCGCTCTTTCAATTTTTGGGCCTAATGTGTTTTTGTAATCTTTCTATCTAGTGATAAATTGGGTAAAGAAGTAATCAGTAAATTTACAACAGATCTTAAGAACCAAGGTTTTTATTATACTGATGCTAATGGTCGAGAAATATTAGAGAGAAGGTAAGCATAACCCACTAATGTATAAATATCAAAGACAAATGTCGTAATTGATATTATCAATTGGAAAATCATCAGTTACGTCCCTTTATTTTTTGTAACATTCACATAGATAACGATTTTGGTTATTATTATTGTACTATTTTACTCTGCCATGTTTGTTGTTTTCTAGACGAAATCATCGAGATACCTGGGCGTTAAATTTGTCTGAACCAATAGCTGGCAATTATTATCCTATAAACAGTAGGATCTTTATACAGGTAAAAAATATTAAATCAAATTAAATGGGGTTTATCATCCTATTTTTCTGCATTAATCGGGGGTTATTCGTCGTCGAATTGCAATTACTAAGGCTTATTTTAGGTGTACTTCGATATGTACACAATACCTTGATATTTAGTCTAATCCGGAAAGTTTCTCCCCAGGAAACACACTGGGATATCCCAAGGATCTTTCACGGCCATCAACAGAATAGAAGCCAGTCCTTCTGTGTAGTGCAACTTACTCACTGGAGTTACACCCTCCCCCCCCCCTTCACTTTGTCGAAAACCTTGTGAATGTGAAGGAGGCTACAGTTTTTATCGGATTATTTTCATATAAGCATTGTGGTCATGAGAGAATGAACCCTATCCAGTTGCAGTGCTCCGCGATTTTACATTCCAGGGTTATCAACCCCCTGCTGAAATAAACCTTGTGGACACAAGTGATCCTACAGTGTTTAAGTGATTTTTTCAAATTTGATCTGAAGCATTGGGGTGATGCGCGGACGAACACTACCGTAGCAGATTTATTGCCCATATGCCGGATTTTAATTATTCAAATTTGGCTTAAATATGGGGGTCACGAGAGGAGGAACTCTATCGATATCCTACTTTCTTCGATATTTTTTTACCTGCCTGTTAACAAGGGATTCTTGTTGCCTAAATGACACATATAATAATTAAATGATTTATAATACATGTTAAATATATAAACAGAAAAATACAACTAACTCTATAGGGTGATTTATATATTTAACAGGACCAAACAGCCAATGTACAACTGACTATATTAAATGATAGATCTCAGGGGGGTGCAAGCATTCAAGATGGTGAAATAGAGATTATGGTATGTATTTGAATGTGACTTTATTTGGCACACAACAGATATTATGTGAATGCGAGAATTGCTATTATTGTTATTTCCACCATGCAGTAAATAGCTTCGCATTATAGAAACTTATGCAGCCCAAAGCTATCGTGAGCTTAAGATATTCTATTTTCGAATACAATTAAATGAAATGGAAGTTAAACGTCACACCTTTCTGTGCCAACCGCGCTAATAAAAACAGAAATAGCGTAAAATTCGAATTCCAATTGCCTACGGTTATTTTACCTGTACGCCAATTTGTACACAGGATTTCCGTCTTTCGTCCCATGCGAATGATTAGACAATGTTCCTTTTCAGACCTGCCGTCCTGAACCACTGACAAAGAGAGAGAAGCAACGCCGACAATCTCGAAGATCTTACTAAACCAACACCGGGATATAACCCGGAACCGCGATATTAGCGAGTCAGCAACTTACTGATTGAACCTTCCTGGCCCTAATACAGGATACGAAATGTTTGCGCTTCAGATATGTATGATGGACCTCTGTTTCTTATTTCTGTTATATTTTTGAGTTAGTCTGTTATTTTATAACACAGGTACACCGAAGATTATTAAATACTGTTAGTTTAGGAGAAGCGCTAAATGAAACTGGTTCAGATGGAAAGGGGCTTGTAGTTAGAGGTAAATATCAAACATTTACTTGAGACTTATTGTCTAATCTTTAAATCAATATTACATTTATTGAAAGTTTGGGGGGCTTTTGTGTGGTATTGCAGTCCACAAGGTTGACAACTAAGAATAAGTGATTTTAGTCAGTGTGTTTTAACCACAGGATTTTCACAAAATGCCTAAAATATGTTATGTAAACCGATACAAACAGTTCTCATTTGGTATATATGTTAATGCATCCAACTCAAGGTTATGTTATCCCAGGAATTTTGGGTGTGGTTTAAGTGATAATTTGCTAAGTTGCAAAACTGTTACAAATCTATGATGGATGAAAGGGGGAGTTAAAAAAATACGACCCTTCCCCCTCCCCCCGCCCTTCCCTGTTTTCTACGAAATGCACTAAATGGTGATATTGGATGAATCTAGCATAAATACGCTGAGCAGGTAACTGGTATCTTTCAGCAACATATGTTAACGAGCTCTGCTTGAAACATGGCCAAGTTTTCAATGGAATATTGCTGGCATACGGTGGAACCCTATGAAAACAATCGCCCCGTAAATTTCGTACAGCTTTGATGGGTTATCTTTTTATTCACATTAGAACATTTATGAAGGACAGGCGACAGAGAAATGGCATTTTATGTCAACTCTTTTGAGATTTAGAACTTAGTGTCAATGATGTGCCGGACGCTAATGTGTACACGGCTGTACCTCGACTTCTTGTCCTTCCTGAACGACTAGATATACGTTTCGGGATTCGAACCCGGGACATACTAGACGAGAATTCGCCTATCTGAACACTCGCACTACAAATGCCGCCCTGGGTGTCAGGTACACTAATAAGGTTCGTCTCTGGGTTTTGTTTCTTCCAGGTAGCCATTATGTATATTTGGACACCATAGAAGCATCTGCAGCTTTGCATAGAGAAAAGGCCGAAGAACTATTTATGGCACCGCAGATGTCTTTTACTACAGTAAAAACTAATTATAGTGACTGGAGTAAAAACTTTAGAACAATGGTATGAATTTTTTTTAGAGATTTATATTATTTGTGTTCCTGAGATTATCACAGGAGTTCCACAACGCTGCTATACTATAATAGACCTACTTTAGAAATGTAATACATTGGTATCTATATCCGAAATTTGATTCATCCTGAAGTATTAAATATGGAAGAAATTAATCAGAATTACACTTTCTTTTTTGTAATCTTTGGATACAAGCTTGCGATAATTGATAGCTCGCTTACATGTAGATTTCTAATTCAAAGGGGTACAGGGCGTAGTTCTATGCAGGATTATTCATGTTTGACTTGAATGTTCAGTAGATTTTAAACTCATAAACATTGTTGAAATAAAAATGTTCCATGACCACAATTGCTGTTTCATTCCGACTTACGTTTGAACGTTTAAAGCCGCCTATTTAACATGATATATCACGAATTTTTGTTTTGTCGTTTTCTAATATTAGAGATAGAGCTCATAATTATGTGTCTTTCTAGAATCCGAAATGCTAGTTCTAATGTTAAGCCTTCGTAAATGTAAACGTTTGGGTAAACTATTTTCAGTGGTCCGGAGTAAAACAAGCCTTACCACCAAATGTCCATTTGTTGACATTGGAACAGTTCGCTGGAACCGGTCCAGTGCCATCACAGAGTCAGCCATATTTGCTCAGATTAGAACATATGTATGAAACAGATGAAGATGCTACACTCTCTAAACCAGTCAATGTATCTCTTCAGGTAGATTATTGTTTTATTGGTTTAACCACACACGCTGGTTTGGAACAGTTGTTTATTATCTTGCCAAATGAGCTAAATGTGTATTCTTTGGAACCTAAAATAGATCAACACTTCTATTGTAATTTCTAATCGGGTTTGATCGTCGAAAATGCAGTCCAAATTAAATGGCAGTCACAATGAATGACGTTTAACCTCGTTAACGGGTGTGTACTGGTTTTGTAAAATTGTTGACTGTATTTTAAATATTTGATAGCAGCAACACATATTTTATATTTTCATGGTAAGTTAACAACATCACTATAGATTGGAATGGACTAATAATTGCTGTTGGTAATGTCGACGACTCTGGATCAAATTGAGTTAAAGCTTTACGCCTTTTAATTTTTCTGCTGGGATGGCACATCTTGAATCAATTAACTAACTAATCCGAGTAGGAAAATGGAGTTAGCATCAAATGTGTTCTAGATGATGGCTAATTCATAATAATACGACGAATGCTTATCTATATAATTATATAGTTATTATTCAAATATATGCACTTTCGGATGGGACGAAAATCATCAGACGAACTGTTTGAATTTGAAATAAGAATAGGCCGTAGCGCCGCTCTCCCGGCAAATATTCCCCATAGCACACTGTATTGTGTATGCCCGCCTTCATTAGCTCAGTCGTTGCAGAAAAATGGGATGTTAAACCCCATTTAATTCATTTCAAATATATTCAATGTGGTACAAAAAACAGTAAAAAAGACTCTTGAATGTTTTAGAGCCGCAGAGATTTGAGAAACGCCTCGAATTAAACATTCAGTATAATCTTCACGCCTAGTTATAATTGTGAGTGTAAACTGCTTTTGTTTATTGTTTTCAGGATTTATTTACAACATTTGAAATAACATCAGCAACAGAACTTACTTTAGGTGCCAATCTTCCACTAAGTCAACTACAAAGATTAAAATGGATGTCAGCTGATGACGTTGATACAGAACCAACCGATGATCAAGGTAAAATGAAATGATCAAGATCTATAGTACAGTGAAATCCCTCTATTAAGACCCGTTGTGGGGCTGATATTTAATGGTCGTAATAGTGAGACGGTGTTTCTACCGAGTTGGAATCGAGGGATGCAGACTTCATACAATCATTTAAAATACAGTCGTATACGAGACGGGGTAGTGATACTAGTTCTTGTGTTTTGGATTTGATAATCACAATCGTATTATAGGTCACCGGGAAAGGCAGTATACTGGGGCCCCTACCTATCCGTGTACAGGTTGGCGTGCTTGTAAAAGATCCTTTGGAAGATCCGAAATTTCCCTCATAGCACACCGCATGGCACATAATATGATTGCTTTTATTAGCTTGGTTCTTACAGACACATTAGGACATTTATTGCAAATGTATTTTGTTCTGTTTATTATCTGTCGATATTTGTTGTTGGGCGTTTAGGGCTGCATTATCTTATAAATAATTTCGAACATTTTCACATGCATGACAATTTCCTTCTAGGAAAGAATCGTGTAAAGAGGATAGCGTCGTGCAACTGTTTTCATGGAATCCAGAGGTAGAATCAGTGCGGTATAAGCTTCCATGCCAGACAGACATGGGGATTAACGTCCACTCAATTCAAACTAGTCATTTTGACAATATCATATAGTACAATTGTATTTCAATAATTCGCTTCAGTAGCGGGAGAAAACAGAAGAATCCGGAGAAAACCTACTCCTTGTCACACCTTCCCCACTGCCAGACCATTGTCTGTTATTAATGGAAACTTGATTATATTTTAGGATAAGAAATACATGTTAAAGTCGTCTTTTTATTCCAGATTCCTACCTAAAATACCAAAGATTAACACTAAGCGATTCACTAACTATTACCCTCAATCCGATGCAGATTAGGACATTACAGATAGAGATAAAAAGTCGACAACAATTTTTAAAAAAATGATAATATTTAATTATTATACTGGAGAAAAATAATTTATGTTATGAAATTGTACCTTTTTTATTACTGTTGATATATTAAAGTTAATGAACCTGTTGACTGTATTTATTGTAACCGTTGTTCCGTGAAAGACAAATTACTTAAATTACAACAATAACGGAAGTATTAATTGGCCAACTGCCCAAGGACATGAAAGGGGCATTCACGATGGCAAATTATAGAATGTACTGTTAAGCCCATATTTGAAGATACAGTATGAAAGAGCTAAATCTGCCCATTGCAGGTGTTTATTTTGACTTCAAATGTTATATACATGACACGCCCATAAGCAATAATTAAACCATCGGGGGTGGGGGGCGTTTTATAAAATGGGCTCTTTATCCGAATCTTACATAATGTACTTTTAATATGAGTTCGAAATAAGACAATGCTACTGGGGGATTTATTTGGGAATTGGTTTTATACCTAACAATGTTCTGCTTATCGTCCCTACTTTTTGTCATTTAACAAGCTTGGGACTGTAACCATATTACTTGACTCGGTGACAGACCTTATGATCCAAATCACACGCATAGAATATTCAGCCACCAAACAGACGTTGGAATCTAGAATCAGCATGGTCCATCTAAAAAAATATTTTCTTAAAGGTTTCATTCCTTGATGTTTCAAAATGAAACGACAACTGATGAGCCTACTATGTAAACGTTCTACCTTCTACAGTTAAGAGGTTTGTATACTTTGCCATGATACATGTATATCGCAACCTCTTAGGGATGTTCGCAGGGTCATTTACTTTAAGAGGGGTCTTTATAACAAATAAAGGAACAAAAATCAATCATTTTCCAAAAGTGGCAAACATATGGATGAAAATTCACATATCACTGCCACGGTGCTTTCAAAGGGAAAGTTTGTCCGGAGAACATCGCAACGGCCTAGACTGCCTTCGAGTCCCAGCGTACAGGTTGAAATTTAGCGTTATATGTACACGGCACACCCGAAGGACTAGACAATGCTTGGATCGAACCTGGGAAATCCTGGCTAGGGTATTGGGGGTGGGGGGTGGGTGCGTGTCGCAAGTAAGATTATATCCAATTACTTTATTATAGTGATTATTGTTTGTGCTGAAATAATAACTATAATTATTGTGTAATGTGATAGTACCAGGGACTTCTAAATAATTCGCTGCATGTGATTCAATATCAATGTCACCACCACAAATTTCGACTACTATTATTCTATATTTAATCTTCCTGAATGGAACAAAGCTCTAGTTTAATCTGTTGGCGATTTAATGTTTAATGATGCGATTGTTATTCTTTTTAAAACAAAAATCCTCGAAACATTATACATCAAAATATAAAGTATTATATATTTAATTAAAGGGTGTATATTATGTTTAAAGGGTAATTCATAAAAAAAAAACAGTTAGAGCCGATGATCGTCAATTTCTAATTTTTCACAGTTTAATCCATCCTAAAATGTACTGACATTGATTATTCCCCATTTGATTAAAAAAACAAAATCAGAAAAGCAAGGGTAGATAATCTCCCGGCTTAGATGTAATCGGATTGAAAGGGGCCTATCTAAAGATTATAGGTGGCGCTGGCTTATTGTCACCAAATCACGTTTATGTCGTTTGCAGAGTAATTTTCACTTCATCATATGGTCATTTCAGGACTAACATATGTTTCAATTGTATTTCAATTAATGTTTGCGCGTAGGGGTTTTTAGCAGACCCGGAGAAATTGGACAAGCGACTCGACTCTACTCTAATCGAAACCACGCCAGTTGACTCGATAACAATCCTTGTGATACAACGTGCATGTGATAACCATTCGGCCACCCAACCCCCTCTAAATGAAATGAAAGGGGGTTAATTAATGTCCTACCTATCTGCTTCATCCTATCTACTGACACACGCCATGCAAAGTTGGAATGTGTCATGAGAGAATATTCTCCTGGACATCGGTACCAATGTCTACACGTCAATGTGTACACAGGTTCTCGATGTTTCGTCCCACCGAACGTCTAGACGTTGCTTCTTGCCACCTCCTCCCCCCCCCCCCCCCACTGACAAGGAGATTTCACGCGTACTTTCAAGCAGCGCTTTACTATAATAGCTATTGTTTACACTGTTAAAAATGGGTGTAATTGAAAACTATAGGCAGTGTTAATTAGGTGTAAATTTTACACAACAGCTAGGGTTTTTAAAAGGTAACACTTTTACAGGAGTAACCAACTAAAAGAGCTACACATAACAAGTGTAACCGATATTCATGATTACTAACCACCCGAATAGGTGTAATTGTGGGGTGTTTTGGATAAGCCACATCACTACCAGTGGTATAAGTATTATTGGGGAATAAATACTATGCAAAAGTGCAATCGATATTCATGAATACTGAACACCTTTACAAGCGTTTTATTGCATTAACACTAACAGGTGGAATTATTATTAGAGAAACATTCCTCCGAATAAGGTACTAATTTTACACCTATCTTGCATTAATTACAAAAGTGTTTGTGAACTCCAATTTGAGTGCTTTTGTATCATGTATAATAATCTTAATAATATTTCATAGCGCCTCAAGTATAGATTATTTTAGCTTGTAAAATACTACCAAGTACTATATCTTTATTAATTATTCTTAATTCGTGGGAGGTGCATAAATGAATAAACCACATTATTCAAGATATGTGTACTGATTTTTCCTCGTGATTTATATTCATTGTACATTGTCCAACAGGAGTTGATTTTGAATCAGTCTGGTGGATATTTGTCAATTTAATGTCGTTGTAAAATGAAGCGAAGTAGCCGACGGTCTATATGTAATCTAGGTTAGGACCAAACGCCCTATACTAATTATCATAGAGACCCATATAAAATTTCAAGATTTCTGAACTTAGAAGTCGGTGGCTTGAAATAAATATCCAACAAAACAAATTACACCACGTTAGTGTAATGATTAACGTGGAAGTGTAATTTACAGAACATACTTGAGGGGTAATGCTCAATCCACACCCACGGATGTAAACTATTTAAATGTAATAATTACACTGTATGAGTGCATCAGGCAGGTTACACTACTGGAAGTGGCAACTAGTTTCCACCTGAATTGGTGTAATATTCTACATTAGTTGGATGTTATCAGTTTAGGTGGCAACTAGTTTCCACCCGAATTGGTGTAAACTACCTTATTATTTTTAACAAAAGTGATGGCGACGTGTCATGTAAATTGAACGAAACGATAGTAATCAATAAAGCCCCCAAAATTTCTACACTCGGCCCGTAAAGTTGGCTTCGCCCCTGGGAATTCCCCCAAAAAATAAATCAAGTATCGATAGCGTTCAACAACGGCTTAATTTATAGCTTATTCATTAAATCCGTCATGAATGACGATTCCATTGTCCAAACGTAAGCATGTTTTAAAGGCTTATATTTATGTAAGGCAATGCTCCCATTATTGTACATACAGTATATCAACCATTATCATTTATTTTTGGTGTCTTGATTTCAGACCTTTTGTAAAAATGAATATTTGTTATAACAGATCTCTTAATTATTAGTCATTTACCATATCATTTACCATTCCCGCGGCGAGCAGAGTAATGTAAAGACGTGCCACTCGCAACTAAATTTCACAAGTGTAGGAAAATGGCTCCTGCAAAGGTAAGGTATTAATGGAATATCTTTTGGAAAAGGATCATCAAAAATATTTCTGAACTCGCCTAATTATTTAATTCCATTATACATACGCATTCATCAGTAGGGGTCAATGAAGAACTTTTTTCAAATTTTGATCGGGCCTAACACGTTTGACCATATTCAGCTACCCAAACACCATAGGCTCAGATTGAAATGTGGTCATATATTGTCTTCGCCTCCGTCCGTCCGTCCGTCCGGCGTCCACAATTGCTTGTGGACCCTAGAGGATTAAGTTAATATTAATATCCGATTGACTTTAATTGTATACACAGTGTCTATGGTCATGAGACGAAGAATCCTATTGATTTTCACCGATTTCCGATAATTACTGCCACAGTTATGACCCTTGATCACCTTGAAAAATTTTGTGGATGCTTTAGAGACCATAGTTATCATCTGATCGATTTTATATTTATACACCGTGTTTACGCTTATATATAATCGTCTCGATTGACTTTACATTGATCCACAGAGTTTAAGGGCTTGAAACGAACATGTATGATTTTCAAAGATTTTTGATAACTTGAACAGCTAAATCCATGATATTTTAATGTTTTGTATACTAAACGTTAGCATTGGCCAAACAACTTCTAATGATTTTCCGATAATTACTTAATGAGTTGTTACTCTTAATTAGATTTTAGTATATTTGTCATACCGACAAAAGTAAAAATTTATGTGACAACTCTTGTTGACTGCCCGTGGGCGTATGTTTCGTTGCCTGGCAACCTATCTTGTAATATACATGCAACAAAGGGACTTATATAAATCCCTTATACCGGATTAGCATGCTTTAAATATATCAATATCGATAATATTAAATATATATTATGTATTGGTTGAAAAACTGTGCCCATACATTAAATTAATATCCAGTCTATTTTAGTTTATTTTTACTTTTCAGATGTTCGCTTTTATTGTTATTACGTGTTCACTTGTAGATGTCACTTACACTGGTAAGGCCTATTATATTTGTCGTTAAATATGCATTCCCATATTTAGGTTGTAGATATATCCCATAACAGTTAGGGTGCCCTAACAGATCTATATTTCGTGTCGTTTTTTTATATTTTCGATGACCTACACTACATGAAGATATGACAAGTTATAGCGATAGGTCACGTCAGGGGTCAAAAGACCGACTTATGCCCCTATGACGTCAGACACATTTCATTTTATTTGATTAACCAATTAGCTTTGATGTTACTAGTGGATTACCCACAGTTCCGTGAAAAACACGCCTAAAGCTCGCCGTAACAGACCGTTTCATTGGCTTATCCCTGACACCATTCAGAACGAGAGTTAAATAACAACTCTTCCAGATCCAAGTGTAGTAAAGACAAGTTAAACGAAATTTTGAACTATAAAAACGAAACGAAATAGGATCTGTGTTTTAATCAGATTGCTTTCCGATCGGTTCTTGCATAAGATTTACTGTTTGGCGTATTTTTGCTTTAGTGTGTTCCGTTTAATTTGCAATGAGATGTCTTCAACATGATGAACGTCTACGTGCTGTTGGCATGCTTCAAATGGGTTCTACACAGCGAGTAGTAGCCAGCATGAATAATGTGTCAGAGTCTGTGATCAGCAGACTATGGAACCGGAACCAACAAACTTACAATGTTGATGATATACCTCGTTGAGGTCGTTCTAGAGTCACCTCACAAGCCCAGGATCGATACATTCGTACACAGGTCCTGCGAAATCGAGGACAAACGGCTAATCAGCTTTCTGTAAACTTGTACCAAGTTACAGGAATTCGAGTTACACCCCAAACGATTACAAATCGGCTACATGCAGCCAATTTGCATGCGCAACGACCACGTGTTGTGCCTCCATTAACTCGCCAGCACATGGCAAACAGACGTCAATGGTGTAGGCAGCGTAGAAATTGGGGTAATCGTCGAGGGCGCGTGTAATGTTCTCAGATGAGTCCAGATTTACTCTGGATTTCACCGATAGGCGTCTCGCTTTTGGAGGTGTGCAAATAAGCGTCATGCTAACGTTAACGCCAGACATCATGACAGATTCAGGCGTTGGTCTATTATGGTGTGGGGAGGAATCGCCATGACTGGCAGAATGGACTTGCAATATATTGTTCAAGGAAGGGTCACTGGTGTGTACTACCGTGACCACAACCTGGCACCGATAGTTCCGCCCTTTACTCAACGTGCAGGTCGACGTTTCATCTTTCAAGATGATAATGCCCGTGCCCACCGCGCTCGACTCGTGAATGACTACCTCCAGATTCACCATATTGTCCATATGCCTTGGCCAGCCATGAGTCCTGACCTTTCCCATATAGGGCCTGTCTGGGGCATGATCGGGAGATGTGTTCGTCGACGTCAACGTCAACCGACAACACTGCAAGAATTGACCGTGGCACTGCAAGAGGAGTGGTTCGGATTGCCCCAAATCGTGATTGAACGGTTGATTAGGAGCATGCCACGACGAATTGTTGAATGTCTGAGAATTGGTGGAGTAATTACTCAATATTAAGACAATAATCAAAAACGTCCATTTTCACTTTTAACAGTGTATCTATTTGCACATAAGCCGCCCATATGAACTGTTTATGTCCATGTGTAGGCAATGGGCCCGTTATTAACAAACACTTGTTACCTCTAATAAAAACAGCAGTGCATTTCCACAGTTTTGTACTGTTTCTGAATATCCCCTACTTTTTTTTAAGAGTATATATATATATATTAGAATAGTTAATTAAAGCTGCTCTTTGGTAATATATAATTGAAATTAAAGATGGCAAAATAAAACTACATTTTTATGCTAACGTTTTCACCGCGATAGCGGCTCTTCAGGCATTTGTTAAACAATAATTCAATTAACAATAGTCTATAGGCATTTATTAAACAATAATTCAATTAACAATAGTCTATAACATTTATTAAACAATAATTCAATTAACAATAGTCTATAGTATATAATTGAAATTAAAAATGGCAAAATTTTTATGCTAACGTTTTCACTGCGATAGCGGCTCTTCAGGCATTTATAGAGATACTAAATAATTACAGTCATGTTGTACTTAATTATTTAATAAGCTATGACCATTTAACCATCCATAAATAATAGACTGAAAGTGGTTAGGAGTGTCGGCCATAAAATCCGGGCACTTTTGAGTAAAAAATAGGTTACGTGACCTTGTTTTGAAATTAGTCTAGCGTAACCAGTCTATCGACCATTCTACGTCTAATTGACAGGCCGGAATAATCAAGACTACTTTTTTTACGAAACATAACAGAAAGCTCCAACAAGAAATTGAATTTAGAAACACACACGTTATTCAACAATTGCCTTAAGAACCTTGTATAAGTAAAATGAAACTACTGCTAGTATCATGTGCTTGCACAACCCGAGTGTTTCAGAGATATTATTGGTACTAAACCGAAAGATGCCGATCCTAACGATCCAGTTAATGATAAAGCAATTTAAAAAATAAAATGAACGTAGTTTCTAAATCTGCTGTAATAACCAAAAAGCTAAATATTACTGTTATTCAGAATCGTCAACAATAGATTGTTTACGGCTGTAATAGTTGATAGATGTGTAGAGAATTGCACGTGCTCTAGCTCTGTGTATTATCGCACTGCGTGATTAGCCAGAAATCCCTTCGAGACAAGTCACTGAAGCGTGCACATTCACCGTGTCGAGTTTAACTTTCTGTAGGGAAAATTTTCGCTGCCAGGGGCACCCTAACAGTATGGCAATTTTGGTATATACGGAAAATAGAGACGCCCACTCATACTAGAAAAATATTGGATTCCACGAAACACACCTGAAGCGCTCACGGGACAAATATATATCACATGTAAGGATATTACAAACTGGCGGACGATCGGCTGGTCTGCTCCAGTGGCGTGATGGCTTGGCGTGTTGATCAAATGGCTAACAGTGGTCAGAACACTTAAAGGACAATATTGGTGTCAGTCATTATCACATATTTGATAGAACTTGTTTAACGCGTTCCAAATATAATTTTAACACAGAGATCATTGCTACGACAGATGCGTAGTGAAGGTTTCTACAAAAGGAAGTGGCTAATAAAAGGAAAACACGAGTTATCCTTCTATATAACTGAATGAAGTGACGAGTGATAACAGATACACGGGCGAATTTCTGTTCACTAATAATTCCTTCGAAGACCAAAAGTTGTTAAATAAGACTGTGAGAGGATATCTGACAATTCAAAACAGAAATTGACTGTCACTAGAAAAGAGAAAATGAAAAAATATAGAAAAAGTCCGTGCGTTACCATGATTTTATAAAGGCGAGAATGAATAAAAACAAGTTACTGTACGGACTATCTCTATTTTTCTCCTGTTCTCTTATCTTTTAACATTCATGTCGTCTCCTTGTATCCTCGAATTATCGGGGCGACAAGTCGAGGAAAGGGGTACACGACTATTTTAATGGAAATAACTGTGTTTTAAATGTTTTTGTTATATATCAGGTCGGAGAAACAATGGTATCTCAATAAACACATGACACGCAAACGTACTGCTGCATACCCCATCATCACTATTCCGGATGACGGAACTAATGTTAGTTTTATAATTTACATGCTCATGAAATGGGGTTTTGCCAAGGCAGCGGAACTAAGGCCTACTCTTATTTTAAATTATAGCTGTCAATGTTTCCCTTTTCGTGCACGCCAGCATTTAAACGTGACCTCGGTTTGTCGTTCCATCCAAAAGACTAAACGCTGTACATGCCATGCACCACTGACAAGGGGAACCATGCTGGAAAACCCCACTGGATTAAATTATTAAATATATTGTAGTAATTTTCTCGTTTACAATACATTATTTCATTAGATTTCTAGATTGGATCAGTGTCAAAATTTTGTTAGTTATATCAAATTATATCAGAAAGGATTTTGTTTAAATTGCCGATTATATTTCATTAATTCGCTTGCACGTAGGGGTCTTTAGCACGATGTTAAGCAGCCAATGAACATCCACATATAGTCCGGTGGCTGAAGGGGGGTAATCGCCACCCGAGCTGTGAATTTATGAGACCAAGTTTTTCCAGACCAGTTTTTTGCGTAGATTCTGAATCTGGGTGGTGATCAGGCGTTTGAGGGGGCGTTTTCGAGATATATTGGGGTCCAATGTCTACAATTGGGGGGCAATGTCATTATGTTGACATAAATGATTATCATGTTATATATTAATAAAACATAAATTTCTAGGACTGTCCTCCTTTAAAGAAGTGTGTATGATGCCCTTGGGCAACTGTTTTGATTTGTGGGGAGGTGGGGTGGTGGGTAGCAGGTGAGCGTGTATGGAGGTTTTTTTTTTTTGGGGGGGGGGGGAAATTGGCGGGAAATTTTCTTAGAGCTTGGTAAAAAGATTACTTTTTAATTCCGCTGCACACCTCTATATATGGGTGTAAGATTCCCATTGTATGTGGCGGGGAGAGGGGTGTAATTTTGGGGACAGAAACCACTTGGTTCAAAATTAGCCAAAGCAGCGGTCTGTTACCGCGAGTTATTGGCGTGCTCTGCACGGAACTTTGTGTAAACCCCCAGAAACGTCAACGCTGAATGATTAATCAATGTCTGACGTCATAGGGTCAAAAGCCGCTCGTATGACTCCTGACGCGACCTCCCAGTACAACTGGTCAGATCTCCATGTAGTGTAGGCCATCGAAAGTATAAGAAAAACCAAACGAAATATACATTTGTATTTTAACTGGTTTGCTTTTTCGTTCAGTACGAATTTCGTTATTCAAAATATTAAATTATAATGGTATTTTTTCAAGAAATCTGGAAACGTGCATAAAAAACACAGTAAATCAGAGACTTTATTCTTAATCTTCATCAGAAGATTCAAAATCAAAGTGCATAATATGAGCGGGATAGATATCTTCTGGATGGCTAATCAACAGCTCGCATATATCCTTTGGATATGCTTCAGACACCCATTCACATTGTAAATCTTCATTCCAGCCTTGTATCGCAGGATCATCTTGTTCAATCATTGGTTTTGCAGCCTGTCCCCATATTGTTGCAACATAATTGTTGCGTTTAATGTGCAGCAAAAGACTACTCAGGCAAGATGGTAATAAAGAAAGAAAGGTTTAATATTTTTCATCACAATTAAAATTCCTCCAGAAAATCCTTCTTTTAGTGTCATCTACTGACGTAAGTCGCCTTTCGCCGTACATGGTACAAACATTTGTTTCTAAACCAACAATTACGTCACCAGAAACATCATTTGTCTGTCCTAGCTCTTTAAAATTGTTAGAAAGTTGGAAAAAGAAAGACAGATAGTCATTACCACCGAAAGCATGTAGGCCAAGATATTCTTGACACTTCAATACTAATCTTGATTGGATAAAATAATATATATGAAGATTAGTATTGAAAGTGTCGAGAATATCCTAGAACTGACAACAAACCACGAGGACACCAAAATAGCTTACCTACTCCTCTTCGCATAGCAAATTAATGGGGGCGCTGAATTAAATTGTATTTTGCGTTCTTGCTTGGGCGAAATATACACCCCAATCATTCTCCTCGCAAACAATGATCAAAATATACACATTCTGGTGGATAATGAAACGGGCAAAGGTAGAAAATATCGCGGAAGGCGACATACATCAGTAGATGACGCTACAAGAAAGATTTTCTGGGTGAAAAAAAAACCAGGCCTTTCTTTATTACCCCCTTGCCGTAGTGGTCTTTTGCTGCATGGCTGGAATGAAGATTTATAATGTGAATTGGCATCTGAAGCATATGCAAAGGATATATGCGAGCTGTTGGTCAGCAACCAAGCAGATATTTATCCCGCTCATATTATGACCCCTGATTTTATGAACATATTTCAGAGGTTTCATTTGCAAGCTCTAAGAATATCATCATTTAAATCGACGTGAGCTCATTTCCTGCGAATTTTACCCCCCCCCCCCCCACTCCTCACACGCAAACCTGCAACCACCCCACCCCACTTCGCCACAAATCAAAACCGTTGTCCAGGGGCATCATACACACTTCTTTAGAGATGGTAGCGCCGCTGCCCGGGCAAAATTGCCCTCATAGCACACTGTATGGCGTATGCCCGTCTTCATTAGCCCAGGTTAGGAGCAGAACAGTAGGACGTTAAACCCCATTTCATTTCATTTCATTTCTTTAGAGATGGACACTCCTAGAAATTTATGTTTTATTAATATATAACATGATAATCATTTATGTCAACATAATGACATTGCCCCCCAATTGTGGATCGACATTGGACCCCCATATATCTCAAAAACGCCCCTTCAAACGCCTGATCACCACCCAGATTTGGAATCTACGCAAAAAACTGGTCTAGAAAAACTTGGTCTCATAAATTCACAGCTCGGGTGGCGACCCCCCCCCCCCCTTCAGCCACCGGACTAATAGGCTTGTACAATAATGGTGTAACTCAAACAAAGTGACTGGAATAAGATATTAAAAAGAACAGGATATTGATAAGAAAGTGATTAGATCATAATCAAATAAGGAGGTTGATTTTAGGTGTTTTAGCTTCAAAACGATAGAATATTATAAATTAAATGTTAGTTAGTTAGTTCTTGGTGTTTAACTTCTGCTTCCACATAAGTGATATCGCAGACAAGACATAGAAGAGCCGAAGCTGCTTCCTGTTTTTTAAAATATGATTTTGCAATCTTTCCATTTGGCCTTAGGCCATGGATTTGGTTTAGTGGGACGTTCTTCCCTTTATTTAATATAAAACATATCGTTTGGTAGATGATCTCGTCTGCTTCTGGATTGGTAGTTAGTTTGTTTAGGTGCCAGGCCCGTCTTATCGTGGCCTCCCCTTACTCCACTAGAAATTAAATGTCGATTATTTAGTCTTAAATCGCATGAAAATCTACCCGTGTCTGTTAACCTACGGATAGAAAATGATAAATCAAATGTCGATTATTTAGTTTTAAATCGCATCAAAATCTACCCGTGTCTGTTAACTGGACTTGGGTCTACATCACAAGCAAGTGGTTTGCCCAAGTGGATAACGAGACAGTGGCGTTGGTGTCATTTATTCCCAGCGTTTTCAAAGGTGACACGTCCATTAAATGTCAATGATTCTAGACTCTACAAATTACTTATAGATGTTAACATCTATATATACGTCATGTGTTATTTGAACAGATATTTTCCTGTCAACTTCAGTGTCAACAACAGCTATGGTAACACCATCTGCAACACCTACTTATTATGATTGGTGTTCGTCTAATCCCTGTCGTAATGGATTTTCATGTTATAATAATCGTTGTTATTGTTATGCTGGATATACGGGACAATACTGTGAATGTAAGTAAATTTTATTTTATTTGTTAAAGGCAGGTTACACCAGGTAAGAACATGATAAATATCGGTTATCCCTCTTTGATTTTGGCCATTAATGATGCCAGGGCCTAACGATTTCATTTGCATTATATTTTATTTTGGTTTTGCTGCATATCGTTATTTCAGACATTACTTAGATCAGCAGTGGAATTTTGATATTATCCTTACAATATTTTAGTATTATCATTGTCGGTATTTGTACATTAACATTATCCATATTATGGCTTATGTTACTCGACCGACCCTATTTTGTTATGTCAAAATCGCCGACACTAAACTATTGTTCTCATTTCCCAGACCATATAACTCCGTACTGGCGCGATTTTCTTTACACATATTCCATCACTGAAATATCTGTATCATTATCATAAGAAATGCTAGGGAATAGATAATACAAAGCTCACAAAAATTAAAAATTAAAAGCTTTTATCGACGACCCTATTTGGTGATCTTAATCGGTGAAGTGAAAGTGTCGCTTTTTTTGCCAAACTACTATATTCTGTAGCTAGATATTCGAAATGAAAATGTTCGAAATATTGCCTAAATGGCAACCAAACTGAGGATTTCAAGAAAGTCACAATATTCTGAAAAAAATGCACCTTTTGTTCAAAACATCGACTTAAAATTAGAGGCTAAGGTATAGATTATTCGATGTGTTGTTTTACCGTAGATTTTCTTGTCAGCTTCAGCGACAACTACGCAAGCTGCAACTACTGCTTATTATGATTGGTGTTCGCTTTATCCCTGTCGTAATGGATATTCATGTGATAGTTATTATAGACGTTGTTATTGTCATGTTGGATATACGGGACAATATTGTGAATGTAAGTAGATTTATTTGTTCAAGCCAGGTTAAAGGACAATATTGGTGCCAGTCATTATCACATATGTGATAGAACTGGTTAAGCACATTCCAAATATTATTTTATCACAGAGATCATTGCTACGATAGATGAGTAATAAATGTTTCAACAATAGGAAGTGACGAACGCAAAAGGAAAACACGAGTTATCCCTTTATATAACTGAATGACGTGACGGGTGATAACAGATACATGGGCGAATTTCTGCTCACTAATAATTCCTTCGAAGACCAAAAGTTGTTGCATGGGGCTGTGAAAGGATATCCGACAATTCATGAACAAAACTGACTCTCACTCTCACCACTGACAAGGGGAACCATGCTGGAAAATCACACTGTATTAAATTATTAAAATTATTGTAGTAATTTTCTCGTTTACAATACATTATTTCATTAGATTTCTAGATTAGATCAGTGTCAAAATTTTGTTAGTTATATCAATTATCAGAATAGATTTTGTTTAAATTGCAGATTATATTTCCGCCTCCCCTGTAATTACTGCAAGTGAGTATCTCTATCAGTTATTATGTAAAAAAAAATATGTAGGACTGCTTTGGATTGGAATATCCCAGTGGTGTTTTCTATGATCCTTTTACGTCATCTAGTTTGTGACCTATCCGGTTGAATGTTCATTGTCCGTATGACCTAATAATAGTAATTGGTAATCCGTTATTATTTTAGATAGTGTACTTTTCCTTAACTATATATTTGAATAGTTCCATTAAAGTTTGTCAGGAATGCTGCACTGCTGGCACAATTTTACCTTTTCAAATTAAATCAGGTTACATACGGTCTAAAACATATTTACGAGGAAAGAAATGTGGTTTAACGTTCACTCGACAGGAAATATACATTTTGATTATTATATGATTCAATTATATTTCATTAATTCGCTTGCACGTAGGGGTCTTTAGCAGTGGGAGCAAACCGGGGGATATTGATAATAGGAGGTTGATTTTAGGTGTTTTAGCTTCAAAACGATAGAAAATGATAAATTAAATGTCGATTATTTAGTCTTAAATCGCATCAAAATCTGCCCGCGTCTGTTAACTGGACTTGAGTCTACATCACAAGCAAGTGGTTTGCCCAAGTGGATAACGAGACAGTGGCGTTGGTGTCATTTTTATTCCCAACATTTTCAAAGGTGACACGTCTATTAAATGTCAATGATTCTAGACTACACAAATTACTTATAGAAGTTTTAAACATCCATATATATGTTATGTGTTATTTGAACGGGTACTTTCTTGTCAACTTCAGTGTCGACAACAGCTATGGTAACACAATCTGCAACAACTAGTTATTATGATTGGTGTTCGCCTAATCCCTGTCGTAATGGATTTTCATGTTATAATAATCGTTGTTATTGTTATGCTGGATATACGGGACAATACTGTGAATGTAAGTAAATTTTATTTTATTTGTATAAGGCGGGTTACACCAAGTTAAGACATGATAAATATCAGCTATTCCTCTTTGATTTTGGCCAGTAATGAGGCCAGCAGAGGATATATTTATATACGAATAATTTAAGAAGTTTCAATGTGATTTTTTTATCGTATTTCATACTTGTGCCATATTTATGGCAATACAGCTATGATACACGTTCTCATAGAATATACACAATACAATATCGCTGTCATATCCTGATTTGGTGAAATATAATACACGTTCCCCGAGAATGTTAGATTTATGGATCATGGATCGGGGTTTAACGTTCTACTTGTCTATATCGTGTGCCATGGGGAAATATTTTCCAAGACAGCTGCACTATGGCCTACTCTTATATCAAATTCCAGCTGTCAAGGGTTCTTTTTCGTGCACGCCAATATGTACACGGGACCTCGGTTTTTCGTCCCATATGACTAAATGCTCCATACACCACTGACAAGGGGAAACCACGGTGGAAAATCCCACGGAATTTACTCCTCCAACGACAGGTCTCCTGGTTAGCGAGCCGGCGTATGATTTTTTTAAAAGGCAAACAAATTATAGGTTAGAACCATAGATTTCAGCCTAAATCGTGTTTTTATCTGTGTTGATTTAGAATGCTATGCACGGAATTTAGCTAAAGAAAAACATAGGTCTATTTAAAATGTTTGAAATGTTAAGAGAATCAGACAGAATCATATCGAATTCGACTAAAGAGTTGAAGTTAAGTCATAAAATAAAATGCATCTCAAGCCTGTTGGTGAACTAATCTTATAAAATACATTGTAATGAAATTAGTTACAATAGATTTAGCGATACTAGTGGGTGTCTAGATAAGAAAATTCATCTCTCAACTCTCCGTGTTTCGAGATAAGAGATGGTACTATATATATAGGCAAGATGGTAATAAAGAAAGAAAGGTTTAATATTTTTCATCACAATTAAAATTCCTCCAGAAAATTCTTCTTTTAGTGTCATCTACTGACGTAAGTCGCCTTTCGCCGTACATAGTACAAACATTTGTTTCTAAACCAACAATTACGTCACCAGAAACATCATTTGTCTGTCCCAGCTCTTTAAAATTGTTAGAAAGTTGGAAAAAGAAAGACAGATAGTCATTACCACCGAAAGCATGTAGGCCAAGATATTCTTGACAATTCAATACTAATCTTGATTGGATAAAATAATATATATCAAGATTAGTACTGAAAGTGTCGAGCATATCCTAGAACTGACAACAAACCATGAGGACACCAAAATAGCTTACCTACTCCTCTTCGCATAGCAAATTAATGGGGACGCTGAATTAACTTGTATTTTGCGTTCTTGCTTGGGCGAAATATACACCCCAATCATTCTCCTCGCAAACAATGATCCAAATATACACATTCTGGTCGATAATGAAACGGGCAAAGGTAGAAAATATCGCGGAAGGCGACATACATCAGTAGATGACGCAACAAGAAAGATTTTCTGGGTAAAAAAAAATAACAGGCCTTTCTTTATTACCCCCTTGCCGTAGTGGTCTTTTGCTGCATGGCTGGAATGAAGATTTATAATGTGAATTGGCATCTGAAGCATATGCAAAGGATATATGCGAGCTGTTGGTCAGCAACCAAGCAGATATTTATCCCGCTCATATTATGACCCCTGATTTTATGAACATATTTCAGATGTTTCATTTGCAAGCTCTAAGAATATCATCATTTAAATCGACGTGAGCTCATTTCCTGCGAATTTTACCCCCCCCCCCCCACCCCACTCCTCACACGCAAACCTGCAACCACCCTACCCCACTTCGCCACAAATCAAAACGGTTGTCCAGGGGCATCATACACACTTCTTTAGAGATGGTAGCGCCGCTGCCCGGGCAAAATTGCCCTCATAGCACACTGTATGGCGTATGCCCGTCTTCATTAGCCCAGCTTAGGAGCAGAACAGTAGGACGTTAAACCCCATTTCATTTCATTTCATTTCTTTAGAGATGGACACTCCTAGAAATTTATTAATATATAACATGATAATCATTTATGTCAACATAATGACATTGCCCCCCAATTGTGGATCGACATTGGACCCCCACATATCTCAAAAACGCCCCCTCAAACGCCTGATCACCACCCAGATTTGGAATCTACGCAAAAAACTGGTCTAGAAAAACTTGGTCTCATAAATTCACAGCTCGGGTGGCGACCCCCCCCCCCCCCCTTCAGCCACCGGACTAATAGGCTTGTACAATAATGGTGTAACTCAAACAAAGTGACTGGAATAAGATATTAAAAAGAACAGGATATTGATAAGAAAGTGATTAGATCATAATCAAATAAGGAGGTTGATTTTAGGTGTTTTAGCTTCAAAACGATAGAAAATTATAAATTAAATGTAAGTTAGTTAGTTCTTGGTGTTTAACGTCTGCTTCCACATAAGTGATATCGCAGACAAGACATAGGAGAGCCGAAGCTGATTCCTGTTTTTTTTAATATGATTTTGCAATCTTTCCATTTGGCCTTAGGCCATGGATTTGGTTTAGTGGGACGTTCTTCCCTTTATTTAATATAAAACATATCGTTTGGTAGATGATCTCGTCTGCTTCTGGATTGGTAGTTAGTTTGTTTAGGTGCCAGGCCCGTCTTATCGTGGCCTCCCCTTACTCCACTAGAAATTAAATGTCGATTATTTAGTCTTAAATCGCATCAAAATCTACCCGTGTCTGTTAACTGGACTTGAGTCTACATCACAAGCAAGTGGTTTGCCCAAGTGGATAACGAGACAGTGGCGTTGGTGTCATTTATTCCCAGCGTTTTCAAAGGTGACACGTCCATTAAATGTCAATGATTCTAGACTACACATGTGTTATTTGAACAGATATTTTCCTGTCAACTTCAGTGTCAACAACAGCTATGGTAACACCATCTGCAACACCTACTTATTATGATTGGTGTTCGTCTAATCCCTGTCGTAATGGATTTTCATGTTATAATAATCGTTGTTATTGTTATGCTGGATATACGGGACAATACTGTGAATGTAAGTAAATTTTATTTTATTTGTAAAAGGCAGGTTACACCAGGTTAAGACATCATAAATATCGGTTATCCCTCTTTGATTTTGGCCATTAATGATGCCAGGGCCTAATGATTTCATTTGCATTATATTTTATTTTGGTTTTGCTGCATATCGTTATTTCAGACATTACTTAGATCAGCAGTGGAATTTTGATATTATCCTTACAATATTTTAGTATTATCATTGTCGGTATTTGTACATTAACATTATCCATATTATGGCTTATGTTACTCGACCGACCCTATTTTGTTATGTCAAAATCGCCGACACTAAACTATTGTTCTCATTTCCCAGACCATATAACTCCGTACTGGCGCGATTTTCTTTACACAAATTCCATCACTGAAATGTCTGTATCATTATCACAAGAAATGCTAGGGAATAGATAATACAAAGCTTACAAAAATTAAAAATTAAAAGCTTTTATCGACGACCCTATTTGGTGATCTTAATCGGTGAAGTGAAAGTGTCGCTTTTTTTGTCAAACTACTATATTCTGTAGCTAGATATTCGAAATGAAAATGTTCGAAATATTGCCTAAATGGCAACCAAACTGAGGATTTCAAGAAAGTCACAATATTCTGAAAAAAATGCACCTTTTGTTCAAAACATCGACTTAAAATTAGAGGCTAAGGTATAGATTATTCGATGTGTTGTTTTACCGTAGATTTTCTTGTCAGCTTCAGTGACAACTACGCAAGCTGCAACTACTGCTTATTATGATTGGTGTTCGCCTTATCCCTGTCGTAATGGATATTCATGTGATAGTTATTATAGACGTTGTTATTGTCATGTTGGATATACGGGACAATATTGTGAATGTAAGTAGATTTATTTGTTCAAGCCAGGTTAAAGGACAATATTGGTGCCAGTCATTATCACATATGTGATAGAACTGGTTAAACACATTCCAAATATTATTTTATCACAGAGATCATTGCTACGATAGATGAGTAATAAATGTTTCAACAATAGGAAGTGACGAACGCAAAAGGAAAACACGAGTTATCCCTTTATATAACTGAATGACGTGACGGGTGATAACAGATACATGGGCGAATTTCTGCTCACTAATAATTCCTTCGAAGACCAAAAGTTGTTGCATGGGACTGTGAAAGGATATCCGACAATTCATGAACAAAACTGACTCTCACTCTCACCATTGACAAGGGGAACCATGCTGGAAAATCACACTGTATTAAATTATTAAAATTATTGTAGTAATTTTCTCGTTTACAATACATTATTTCATTAGATTTCTAGATTAGATCAGTGTCAAAATTTTGTTAGTTATATCAATTATCAGAATAGATTTTGTTTAAATTGCAGATTATATTTCCGCCTCCCCTGTAATTACTGCAAGTGAGTATCTCTATCAGTTATTATGTAAAAAAAATTATGTAGGACTGCTTTGGATTGGAATATCCCAGTGGTGTTTTCTATGATCCTTTTACGTCATCTAGTTTGGGACCTATCCGGTTGAATGTTCATTGTCCGTATGACCTAATAATAGTAATTGGTAATCCGTTATTATTTTAGATAGTGTACTTTTCCTTAACTATATATTTGAATAGTTCCATTAAAGTTTGTCAGGAATGCTGCACTGCTGGCACAATTTTACCTTTTCAAATTAAATCAGGTTACATACGGTCTAAAACATATTTACGAGGAAAGAAATGTGGTTTAACGTTCACTCGACAGGAAATATACATTTTGATTATTATATGATTCAATTATATTTCATTAATTCGCTTGCACGTAGGGGTCTTTAGCAGTGGGAGCAAACCGGGGGATATTGATAATAGGAGGTTGATTTTAGGTGTTTTAGCTTCAAAACGATAGAAAATGATAAATTAAATGTCGATTATTTAGTCTTAAATCGCATCAAAATCTGCCCGCGTCTGTTAACTGGACTTGAGTCTACATCACAAGCAAGTGGTTTGCCCAAGTGGATAACGAGACAGTGGCGTTGGTGTCATTTTTATTCCCAACATTTTCAAAGGTGACACGTCTATTAAATGTCAATGATTCTAGACTACACAAATTACTTATAGAAGTTTTAAACATCCATATATATGTTATGTGTTATTTGAACGGGTACTTTCTTGTCAACTTCAGTGTCGACAACAGCTATGGTAACACAATCTGCAACAACTAGTTATTATGATTGGTGTTCGCCTAATCCCTGTCGTAATGGATTTTCATGTTATAATAATCGTTGTTATTGTTATGCTGGATATACGGGACAATACTGTGAATGTAAGTAAATTTTATTTTATTTGTATAAGGCGGGTTACACCAAGTTAAGACATGATAAATATCAGCTATTTCTCTTTGATTTTGGCCAGTAATGAGGCCAGCAGAGGATATATTTATATACGAATAATTTAAGAAGTTTCAATGTGATTTTTTTTATCGTATTTCATACTTGTGCCATATTTATGGGAATACAGCTATGATACACGTTCTCATAGAATATACACAATACAATATCGCTGTCATATCCTGATTTGGTGAAATATAATACACGTTCCCCGAGAATGTTAGTTTTATCATTTGCATCCTCATGGATCGAGGTTTAACGTTCTACTTGTCTATATCGTGTGCCATGGGGAAATATTTTCCAAGACAGCTGCACTATGGCCTACTCTTATATCAAATTCCAGCTGTCAAGGGTTCTTTTTCGTGCACGCCAATATGTACACGGGACCTCGGTTTTTCGTCCCATATGACTAAATGCTCCATACACCACTGACAAGGGGAAACCACGGTGGAAAATCCCACGGAATTTACTCCTCCAACGACAGGTCTCCTGGTTAGCGAGCCAGCGTATGATTTTTTTAAAAGGCAAACAAATTATAGGTTAGAACCATAGATTTCAGCCTAAATCGTGTTTTTATCTGTGTTGATTTAGAATGCTATGCACGGAATTTAGCTAAAAAAAAACATAGGTCTATTTAAAATGTTTGAAATGTTAAGAGAATCAGACAGAATCATATCGAATTCGACTAAAGAGTTGAAGTTAAGTCATAAAATAAAATGCATCTCAAGCCTGTTGGTGAACTAATCTTATAAAATACATTGTAATGAAATTAGTTACAATAGATTTAGCGATACTAGTGGGTGTCTAGATAAGAAAATTCATCTCTCAACTCTCCGTGTTTCGAGATAAGAGATGGTACTATATAGGTGTACCTGGGAATACACCTATATTACACATACTCATAGAATATACACAATAAACGATCGCTGTCATACCCTGATTTGGTGGAATATAATACACGTTCCCTAAGAATGTTAGTTTTATAATTTACATGCTCATGAAATGGGGTTTAACGTTCACCTTGCCTGCATCGACTGTGATAATGCAGACGGGCATACGTCACAACGTGTGCTGCGGGGAACATTTTGCCAAGGCAGCGGAACTAAGGCCTACTCTTATTTTAAATTCTAGCTGTCAATGTTTCCTTGTTCGTGCACGCCAACATTTAAACGTGACCTCGGTTTATCGTTCCATCCAAAAGACTAAACGCTGTACATGCCATGCACCACTGACAAGGGGAACCATGCTGGAAAACCCCACTGTATTAAATTATTAAAATCATTGTAGTAATTTTCTCTTTTACAATACATTATTTCATTAGATTTCTAGATAAGATCAGTGTCAAAATTTTTTTAGTTATATCAATTATCAGAATAGATTTTGTTTAAATTGCAGATTATATTTCCTCCTCTCCTGTAATTACTGCAAGTGAGTATCTCTATCAGTTATTATGCAAAAGAAATTATGTAGGACTGCTTTGGATTGGAATATCCCAGTGGTGTTTTCTATGATCCTTTTACGTCATCTAGTTTGTGACCTATCCGGTTGAATGTTCATTGTCCGTATGACCTAATAATAGTAATTGGTAATCCGTTATTATTTTAGATAGTGTACTTTTCCTTAACTATATATTTGAATAGTTCCATTAAAGTTTGTCAGGAATGCTGCACTGCTGGCACAATTTTACCTTTTCAAATTAAATCGGGTTACATACGGTCTAAAACATATTTACGAGGAAAGAAATGTGGTTTAACGTTCACTCGACAGAAAATATATGATTTTGATTATTATATGATTCAATTATATTTCATTAATTCGCTCGCACGTAGGAGTCTTTAGCAGTGGGAGCAAACCGGGGGATCCGGAGAAAGTCCACGATGTTAAGCAGCTAATGTACATCCACAAAGGCTTGTAGAATAATGGTGTAATTCAATCAAAGTGACTGGAATAAGATTTTAAAAAGAACAGGATATTGATAAGAAAGTAATTAGACCATAATCAAATAAGGGGTTGATTTTAGTTGTTTTAGCTTCAAAACGAATAACCTACGGATAGAAAATGATCAATTAAATGTCGATTATTTAGTTTTAAATCGCATCAAAATCTACCCGTGTCTGTTAACTGGACTTGAGTCTACATCACAAGCAAGTGGTTTGCCCAAGTGGATAACGAGACAGTGGCGTTGGTGTCATTTTTATTCCCAGCGTTTTCAAAGGTGACACGTCTATTAAATGTCAATGCTTCTAGACTACACAAATTAATTATAGAAGTTAACATCTATATATACGTCATGTGTTATTTGAACAGGTATTTTCTTATCAACTTCAGTGTCAACAACAGCTATGGTAACATTATCTGCAACACCTAGTTATTATGATTGGTGTTCATCTAATCCCTGTCATAATGGATATTCATGTTATAATAATCGTTGTTATTGTTATGCTGGATATACGGGACGATACTGTGAATGTAAGTAAATTTTATTTTATTTGTATAAGGCAGGTTACACCAGGTTAAGACATGATAAATATCCGCTATTCCTCTTTGATTTTGGCCAGTAATGAGGCCAGCGCCTAGCGATTTAAGTTGTAATGGAAATTTAGATGTTGATTAGATTTAACTACGATTAACACCAGGAAAATGATTAATAGAATGGTATAAACAGTAGTAGTATAATTGTATACTGTCACGCAGCGTGATAAGAATATTTTAGTATCATCATAATGTTAAAGAACCCCCCCCCCTCCCGTCCGACCAAATCACGATGGTGTTCAGATCTAAAACGTTTGGCGATCCGGCGAAGTAGACGTTAATACGACCCATCACGACGTAGCGCGCTTTGGGCAGATTTCATTCTCAGAATACTATTTCCAATCCACATTTTTCTGTAAAAGCCCTATCACACCAAAGCACGACCTAACGCGACTCATATTATTTTAAGTCGTGTTGTAAAGCTCGATAAGGTCTTCTTGGATTGCGAAGGTCGCCGTCAGGTCTTGGTGAATCGGGAGCATGACTTGTTGAAAAGGAATCAACCTGATCTCTTCCCGGCGAGTGACCATGACGGTCCAGGTCGAGCTTTGGTCGCGTTGGGAGCCTTGGGAAGCCATATCTGTTACGAGTCTGACGAGAAGCGTGTTAATGTTGAGCTGATCGTATCGGGGTCGTGTACACCGTGTTTAGGTCGTGTTCAGGTCGACCAACTCCCTCCAATCTAGATCCAATAATAAGACCTACTCGACCTAATCAAGACTCAAACACGACAAGCTCGCTTCTGTCCAGATACTGTACAGATCCTGTCCAGATCCATCACAACCTCTGCAGAATAGTATGAACTTGTCAGAAATGGGCGTGTAGTTTCATATCGTGTGAGTTTCAAGCAGGTCTCGTATAATCGCGGTACAAATTTGATGAACTTGCTTCCATCAGTCTCCAGGCCCGACAGACTCGGTATCTGCACGATGTCGATACGGTCAAACAAGGCCCCAACACGCTCTCAACACGATCAAGGCGATCCAGTCAGACTTAATACGACCGTACGCGATCCCAATGCGATGTAACAAGATCACTTCCAGGCCCCTCAAGCAAGGCTGACACTTGCACGATTCCGTGGCACGCAAACTAGTCGTAAACTGGCGTGAAGTGTGCGTAAACCCGTCGTGACTGCGTGCCATGTCGGAACGAGAATTTTGAAATGTTCAAAATTTTGGTCACGACAAAATTTAGCGACCGGGTCGTGAACTATGCGCAAACTGTTCGTGAACTCGTCGGGACGATGCGGGAGGATGCGTGGGAGGATGCGTGACAGTGTGCGCCATGCCACGACTGTCACGAACTGCCACGAATAGTTCACGACTAGTTCACGAACAGTTCACGACTACTGCGGCACGACACCGTCCGAATTGCGCAAACTCGTCGTGCCAATGCGGGAAGTGCGTAAACAATGCGCAAACTATGCGTGACCTCGTCGTGTCAACGTGGACACTGATGGGCACGCATTCGTGAACTCGTCGTGAACTATGTGTGAACTAGTCGTGAACAGTGTGGGAGCCTCCCAATTCGTGTCCAAAAATGGCACGACTTGCCACGACAAAATCGTGGCCAAAAGTCGTGCAAGTCTCAGCCTGGCTTAACGCGAACCAAGCTGGACCATCACGGTCAGTCGTCGGGAAGAGATCGATTATATGCCTTTTCAACAAGATCTGCTTCCGACCTTCGCGATCCAGGAATACCTTCTCCGGCTTTACAACGAGACTCAAAATAATTTGAGTCGCGTTAGGTCGTGCTTTGGTCTGGCGGGATCTTAACTATTTTAGGTGATATTGTATTAATCATCTATGTTAACTATTTCATTTTATAGATTACTATGGAACAGCAACAACATCAACAACAGGTACTTATGACTGATTTTTACAGTTTGAACACTGTGTGTTATTAACGTTACATATAGTTATCTTTAGGGCACATTATGGTAATGATGCGTCATTTGCATTTTTTGCTAAGATATCAAAATTTCGCGGGCCTTGGTCAACGCTAATATGTACTAACATTCATTGCCCTAAATTGGCCCGTAGACAAACCAACAGATAAGAACTGATAGGTGTTATGTCCTTATGTTCCCAACGTTGTTAAAGGTGACATTCCTGTAGAATGTCTATGATGATAAGCTATGTGAAATTAACAAAATGTTATATTGTAAAAGTATATTTCCCCTCTGTTGAATCATAGAAGGAAATACGTCAACATTTTCGTACTCCGTTGGCTAGGATGGGGAAGAGGGTGGGTTGGTCAAGATATATATACGGGATATTCGTTTGGATGCAATTGGTGTTATTGTGCTATTATTCTTTGGAATACAACTATAAGCCAATGATAAATGTCCGAAAATTAAATTGCCTCAGTATTCTGAAGGAAAAAAATAATATATGTTTCACAAATGGCTTTTCAAAGATACAATCCAAATATACGTCATGATCGGGGATTTTCTGGTCAACTTCAGTGTCAACAACAGCTATGGTAACACCATCTGTAACACCTAGTTATTATGATTGGTGTTCGTCTAATCCCTGTCGTAATGGATTTTCATGTGATAGTTATAACAAGCGTTGGTCTCAAGATGGTTGAATTATTAAGCTGACAGTCCATTCCCTTCTGCTTGTATAGTAAAAGATCAAACTTGATTGTGTATAGTTTGGTTTGATAATATGTTTGCTATTTGTTTTAGCTTATTTTTGTCGTTCCGGTCACTGTTTTAATGGTAAATCATGTCATTTTGGAATGTGTTATTGTTATAATGGATATGTTATTATTTTTAATAGAAATAGCCTTTAAATGTTATTGTTATAGATCGGATCGGATAAACAATGGTATCTTAATAAACACATGGCACGCAAACGCACTTCAGCATGCTCCATCGTCATTATTCCGGTTGATTCAATCCGCTTTTCATTTCAATTAATTTTTGTTACATATCGTATTACAGAATTTTGATATGATCGAAACAACATTTTAGTATTATCATTGTCGGTATTTTTATATTAAAATTATCCATATTATGGCTTAGGTTACTCGATCCAGCCTGTAGTTTTGTTAAGCCAAAATCGCCGACCCTAAACTTTTTCTCTCATTTCCCTGACCCCACAACTCTGTCCTGGCGTGATTTTCTCTAGATAAATTCCATCACTGAAATATCTATATGATTTTCCATAACCATTTTTAGTAATTAAGTAAAGCATCAATTGGTTTGTTTTGTCGAATTACTATATGCGACCCTTGCTGTCGAAATGGGTCGGAATGCGCAAAGTCTAATATTTAATCAAAACAAATGAAAATAATTATTTTGATGGAAATTGAGATTTTCACAAAAATGAGTCTATAAATATGCTATCTATCGACCCAAAAGATCACTCATCATTTTTATTTCCAACGTTTTCAAAGGTGACACGACTGTTGAATGTCCATGATTCTAGGCTACACAAATTACTTATAGAAGTTAAAGTAGCTAAGACTCTAACTCAATATCATCCAAAATCTTCGACATTGAAAACACGATTTATTTGTCGGTTTAAATCAACATTGATGTTGTGATCTTACCGGAAAAAGATGGTCTTCTGATATCCAATATTTAAGACAAAATAAACATTTTACAATGCGTTTCAGCGCTATGTGTAATAAGGGACTCGAAAAACGGGGCTAGGCATATTCCTCAAGTCATGTCAAACGATGACGCTATATTCTTATCTGGAGAGTATGCCCAATAAATACTATCGGCGTAGACTGGAATAACCAGACGCTAGAGATTGAAATTCGATTGAGAATACTGGCGTATGTCGCCGAACCTAACTGATTAGAAATTACAGAAAAAACAGAAACGATTGAATGTAAATCAATTTATATACATTCATATTACATTACACTATGCGTTGCGACCCATTTGTGTCAATTTCTAGGTCCCAAATATTAGCGACTTAGCTCCTTGAACATCCATCCATACATACGTTATGTGGTATTTGAACGGGTACTTTCTTGTCAATTTCAGTGTCAACAACAGCTATGGTAACACAATCTGCAACACTTAGTTATTATGATTGGTGTTCGCCTAATCCCTGTCGTAATGGATATTCATGTTATAATAATCGTTGTTATTGTTATGGTGGATATACGGGACAATACTGTGAATGTAAGTAAATTTTATTTTATTTGTATAAGGCGGGTTACACCAGGTTAAAACATGATAAATATCGGCTATTCCTCTTTGATTTTGGCTAGTAATGAGGCCAGCAAGGATATAATTGTACGATAAACGTGATGACTTTGACTTTCCGATTGTTAACTTTCCATTTATTAGTAGTAACATTCCAATATCAAGGATATAATTGTACGATAAACGTGATGACTTTGACTTTCCGATTGTTAACTTTCCATTTATTAGTAGTAACATTCCAATATCACCAGCTTATGGAGTGTTTGTGTCTCAACTAAATCGTTACGCGTGAGCTTGTTCATTTTATTCTGATTTTTTAAGTAGATCGAGACATTTGTCATCTAAGCTTCAACTACAGGGATACTTGCGAACTAAACTTATTAAAACCTTTAAAAAGTTTTATGGGCGTAATATTGACTTGATTGTTAAATATAACATGTCACTCTCGGCTATTATTCTAGATATATTTAATTGACGCGTATACAATCTCCCTGATAATGTATGTCTACTACATCGTTAACACTGTTCATCACGTGCATTTTGCATACCGATAGTCCATTGGCCAATCACGCTATTTTACCGAGATTTCGCCTAATAGTTTGGATGCAGCTATGGTGGGTGTGGCGCCAGGCAGGGTAAGCTTACCACTGTTTGTCGTGTATTTTGTACACGGTGAACAGTCCATATGCTGATTACACTATTTTGCCTTATTACACTATTTTGCCTATACCATTTTTTTAGGACTTCGAATTTTGTCTAATGGTTTGGATTGTTCGTACCTAATGCCATTTACGATTTCATACAAGTAATTTAACACTTTTACTGTTACCGGAAGTAACGTCATTGTGGCAAAAACTGTATTTTTAGCCTTCAAAACAGATATTTTATTCAAATGAGTCTGATTTGTATTGTTTTTAAAATTATGATATTTGATTCCAATCAACATATAGATTAAACCCACACGATCATACAGATACCAAAAAATGGTTTCTAACTTGTACGGTTGCAGAGAAATAGAAGATTTTCTACAGGTCACTTTTCAAGGTGTTTGTTCTATAAAAGCATCCCAAACTTAGGCTGCCTATCTACAGCTAGCTCCGGCTGAGAATAGGCCCTAAGCTAATTAACCGACATTTAAATTCCTACATCGACGATTTTAGTCGAAAACACTGAGTATGCTTTTAGAAATTTTTAAAATTATTTATTTCTCTTCTATTGTCATATTGAATGAAATTAAATATGTTTATTTAGCCGCTGTGTGTATGAAAAATGTCAAACTAATCAAAGCCGAATCACAAAATAGTCCTCTAATTATTCAATATGGCAGCGCCCATGAAACATAATTTCACAGAGGCGGTTTTATTTGCGAAAACAAATTTAGGAGTATCTAACCTTGTTTTGAAAGATAAACAGATTGAAACTCTAAAGACAGTTTACTATGGTAAAGAATTTATTGCAATATTACCCATAGCACATATTATATATCGCTTTTACGCGAGTGTCAGCGACATGCCGTGTTTACATAAAACACTCGTGCGTGGGTTATTTTTACTCTGTTGTCTAAACAAAGCGGTCTCGAGTCGATAAGTCCCGCCCCAAAATGATCACATGAGCGTTTTAAATGGCGGATAATCAGTGCAGTGTCACATTCTGGGAAATATGACGTAGATGGGTCGCTGCGTGCAGTATGCTATAAAAGTGGCAATTATTATTCGATTTACATGAAAATTTTCACCAAGTGATGCCTTATGCCATTTATGATTTCATAAAACTAATTTAGAATTTTCATTATCACCGGAAGTAATGTAATTTTGTCAGGATCACTTACATGTAACACATGTATACAATGAATTGATATTGTCGGATTTGGTTGATTCTGCGTACATTTTATGTGATGTGTGCAATGCTTAAATGGAAACCTGTTTAATGGTTTCATCGGTACCGGAAGTGACATATGTTCAAGGGTAACGGGGCACCGGTGAAACCCGCCATTACTGCATCGCAGTTCTAGTTTTATTTATATTTATATACGAACAATTTAAGAAGTTTCAATGTGATTTTTTTTTATATCGTATTTCATACTTGTGCCATATTTATGGGAATACACCTATGTTAGACGCTCTCATAGAATATACATACATTATCGCTGTCATATCCTGATTTGATGGAATATAATACACGTTCCCCGAGAATGTTAGTTTTATGGATCATGGATTGTCTATATCGTGTGCCATGGGGAAATATTTTCCAAGACAGCTGCACTATGGCCTACTCTTATATCAAATTCCATAAATTCCAGCTGTCAAGGGTTATTTTTCGTGCACGCCAATATGTACACGGGACCTCGGTTTTTAGTCCCATCTGACTAAAAGCTCCATACACCACTGACAAGGGGAAACCACTGTGGAAAATCCCAGGGAATTTACTCCGCCAACGGCAGGTCTCCTGGTTAGCGAGCTGGCGTATGAAATTTGTTACAATAGATTTAGCGATACTAGTGGGTGTCTAGATAAGAAAATTCATCTCTCAACTCTCCGTGTTTCGAGATAAGAGATGGTACTATATAGGTGTACCTGGCAAAATCCCAATGTAAATCACATCAGGCTTCAAACAGCAAAACAACGATTGATTACTGTTACTGCCACATCCAACTACATTTAAGCATATATAATCCTACGTGACACGGGTACAAATCATCTCTTTTAAATCGATGCTTTAATAGCTGGCTTTATTTTATGATCAGTAGTGTTATTCCACTGGCTAAAGTAGTCCATGTTGTTTTTACCTAAAATGATTGTAAAATCATGAAATAAATTGAACATTTGTCGTTTTGTCGTGAATAACATATTTTATTTCATCGAGAAGCAAGAAAACTTGCGTAGCATGAGTGAAAATATAAACGTTTTGTTGCTTCTCGATGAAATAAAATATGTTATTCACGACAAAACGACAAATATCCTCTATTTATCCGGCATTTTAAATTTGAGAGAGAGAGAGAGAGAGATGGGGTTTAACGTCCACTCGACACAGGCTAGGTCATTTTGGGACTAACATATGGTTTAATTTTATTTCAATAATTCGCTTGCGCGTAGGGGTCTTTAGCAGTGGGAGGAAACCGGTTTTAAATTTGACATCTTTACGTCATTTAGGTAGGGCTAAAAATATGCCATGTACAACACCCAATCAAAATACGCGAAATGTAGGATAACCTTTATAGAAACACCGCTTGATAACTTTACTGTCAATATTTAGAGTTAAACGAAAGTTGTTCCATTACATTAGACTGGGTATGTTTAACGTCTTTAGCTATACGTCCTCGTAGCTGTGGGTGTCGTGAAAAAGGAAGGGCACCATTACGCTTTCAAGAAGATCCGATATCTGTAGTTAAACAAAGCTGGCACCTTTCCACTTGTTCTTTTGTATTTCAAAAGTTTTTATTATATATGTATATATTTACTTTTATTTCAGATAATATTTACACTACAACTCGATCACCTCAGAGACAGGGTGAGCAAGGTGAGTTCGAACTCGTATAAATATCTGGTACATCAATAGAACATAGTTATACTGTTTCATATTTTTAACATGTTAATAAATTTATCTGGAACATGAAACAGAGGTCACGGACATTAAATTTTGTGGTATCAAGGCTAGAAGGTTGCCGGTGGTGGTGATTTGGTAGATACATTATCATGCAAATATAATCAAGTACACGTATCCTAATTATAAAAGGCACAGTAAGTCCGATAACTGTCAAAAATATGCACTGTTGTGATATTGCTTTTTAAAACATGGCTCTGGGAAATCATTAGACACGATTGTAATCTTTAAATTCGTGTATTGTTTCAAAACTCTATATTTAACCACTGAGGAGTGTAATTTACTTCATGGTATGTATCGGGTCGTGTAAAATAATATTGCATTCCCTTCCGGTTTTCATTCTTGACAGCTTCTTAGGCCTCCATCCTAGAGGATGTCTCCTCCAGGCGCAAGAAAACATGTTAAAAAAAGAACTGTAAATTGCGCTTTCTTTAGTATATCCTTTGGAGACTAAAAAGCCCTCTCGCCCCAAAATACATAAAACCATTAACTTCTTTCGGGGCCCCCGAGTCGAGCATAGGCCTACTCACAGGTTTCACCACTGGAACGATCAGTTACTTCTGACTACAAATCTGCAATTTAATCCATCCGTCTATTTTGAATAGTTTAGATGGTGGTACCAAGGTATCTTAACCATCCGTACTTTTCAAACTACACAGGCACAATTCAATTTATCTATCTATTTTGGAATATTTTAGACGATATCCAGGTACTTTGTGATCATAACAGGTTTCAAGTGACAGTAGATCATGATTGGTTAGTTTCAAAGCATCCTACAGTATTAAGCTCTGCGTATATGAATATATATTTTGGCACTTGTCAAGTATATAATCGTTACAGTATTTACATGTCAAACCAGTACAGTTTTATACATTACTTTATCAGCTGTGGAACTACAAGAACGGTAATTTATTTTATTATTTTGTCTTGTGCGCTTTTCCACACTTCGTGTTGATTTTAAGTTTGACAGCGGAGATGTGTTTGCTACGTTTTCAGGTGAAACCAGCGGTTGTCAGGCAATATACGCCCACATTTTGCAAAAAAACGCGATTTTTCGAACAATCAGGGGCCATAATGCACCATCTTCGTATTACATACTTTTACACAATTTGTGTACAAAATGCGGCCAATTTGTCAGACAGTTTAATTTCGATTTTCCCGAAATTCAAACTCAACCTTCATTTCATTATGGTGGAACGGTGAAATAATTAAATGGTTTGTAAAATCGGATAGAAATTGTGACCTCTAGAGGACCCACACTATAAAAACTGGGATTTTTGGTACAATCAGATGCCATAATGCTGGAAGTTATGGTCTTATATGTGCGAATATCCCAAGGAATTGAGATCTTTGAGATATAAACATATATTTTAAGTTTCATCAAAATTGGGTCCATAACCTTAGTATTACATACTTTTACACAATTTGCGTTCAAGAAGCGGCCATTTTGTCGAGCAGTTTCGGTCCGATTATTACGAAATTAGAACTTAATCATCATCAGGATGTAAAGATAATATATTTAAACGATTTTTAAAATCAGATAAAAATTGTGACCTCTAGATGGTCCACAAGCTAACATTGCAACATTTTCGTACAATCAGGGGCCATACTCCAGGAATTTATGGCTCGATATGCGCAAATATCGACAGGAACCGAGATCTTTGGGATATAAACACTTGTTTTAAGTTTCATCAAATTCGGATAACAATTGTGACCTCTAGATGGTCCACAACCTTGATATTATATACTTTAAGACTATTTGCGTGGAGATGCCAGCGTGCTCTGTTAGTATTATCTTTACGTATATTAGGACTTCTTATGCTGGGGATGCGTAGCTCTAATACGGCGAAGCACAGCGCTCTCACGATATTTATTATTCAAGGAGCTTTAATCTATAAGAAACATAAGTACTAATTATTTGACGTCGAACTGGGTGTATTAATGAATGAACATCACAACACAAATAAAGAAACTGAAATCACAATTAAAACATCAATTACAAATTATCTATAATGAAAAATTGAATATATAATATTGGCATATATTATGTGACCAAGTGTAATTGAAAGCTTTTTCACATTATCATATTATGCATAAAAGAACCATACATTAATCAATAAGCGAATATAAAGTATTATCATACTATGTAAATAAGTGTAGTAAACTATTTCAAATCATATTATTATGCATAAAATAAACATAATAAATACACACAATTATAAACTAACTCACCTATCGCTAACTTAATAACTAGCAATTTTTGAACATATACGTGATAATAAGAGTTAGACATATAATACAAAATGTGATATAAATTAACATATTTACATTACTGAGACTTATCTCGAATACAGGCACATACTAAATCAATGCCTAAGATGCATGTTAAGTAATAATTACGTAATATATCGTTACATTAAAGATACATTAGTTAAGAGTTTAATAACGAGTTTGCAATTCTTGCTATAATAATTCAAAAATAGATGATAAAAAAAAAGAAAATATTGAAAATTTCAGTCAAATTACTTTATTCTGAACGGAGTTAGTTGTCACTGTTGGAAGTTTGGACTAGAAATAGGCAGGAACTGTGTCCGCACCGTCTACGAGAATTGCCGATCGTTTGATTGACAAACGATAACTCCAACCACAAATTCTCGATTATCAAGTAACATTCTCAATGGCTATGGTACCCTCGCTTCGTAGGCCTTTCATCGGAAGTTTCCGGTAGTGACGTCAGTGACAAACGATAAACGAATGAATTTATATGGATTTAAAAAACGTTAACCAAAGGAAACATATAGTGTCAGTGTGACCATAATGTACAATTTACGTAGAAATGCAAGAAAACATTTAACAAATTATAAAAGATAATATTTATATAAATTGTCTATCAAATTCCTGATAAGTCCAATCATTGTGGCACACGGTCTGTCGTATTCGTGCATGGTGATGGGGCAGATGTCCATATAAACTTAACAGAACGATCTATTTGAAGAAGATAAAAGAGGCGCTGAATTGACTTTCTGTGGATGAAAAAATAAATAAGTCTGGGTTGAAGAACAAGTGTAGCTTTCACTGGAACTGTCTAGCAATTATGCACATTGCTGTGTAGAGGAGAGACCAATCATATCCCATTAACAATTTCATTCGTCGTATTTCCCTAATAGATCGAAGTTAACTTTTAGTGAAATTTGTTCTTTTTGTTTCGTCTTGAACCATTTGGTTTGTAATTATTATTGAAATTCTTACTGTGGATTTCGTCAATATTTTGTTCTGGTTGCCAAGTTTTAGATGTATCACCCCTTAGTATTTAGTATTGACCTGTATCTCAATACTTTCGTTTCCTTAAAATTCTTATAAAGCTATATGCTCTGTCTGTATCCACATTTGCGCTCTTAGTCCATGAAGCAATATTGCCGTTGCGAAATTGTTTTCAATTTATAGGCAAGGAATGGCATTATATTTCATTAATTAATATCTGTGGTGGCAAGTTATTAAATTCACATATATGTAGAATTGTATTAAAATCAACTTAGTCTGTAATTGACAGTTGACACATAAAAGAGTTATTTAGCAAAAGCATGTGTCTATAAAATACCACGAGATATCACGTGCATGGAAATTTACCATTGCATCATTTGGTTTAATTTAACCAATCATATCGTTAATTGCACAGGTTCAGGGCCATGATCACACTTGATTGTGCATGATATCCATAGGTCTTATAAAAGAAATCATAGTAAACTTTTAAGTCAGACTTCCATTAGATTCCAGAGAGGTTCCATCTGAGTTCCTTGACAGCCGCGGGGCTGGCTAGGGTGGAGAAATGGTTTTAGCTAGTATTGTAATCTGTGCTATACTTGTATACATGTATTCAGCTATATAAAATGTAGAAGCGAACTGTTGTATTGTTATTCCTGGTAAGACAAACGTCTTAAGAAAACAGTAAGAAGTAAATACACAACGTGAAGCAGAAGTAAAGACAGTTAGAGACAAATTCTAGACGATCACAAGGCTACAGAAATATGTAGTAAGAAAAGATGCATGGGTCGTACGTAGGATGTGGCAACCGGTTTTTGGAATCCCCGCTTTCCACGTCAGACAGAAGGCCCATGGTGCTACATCCATCGATATACATGTTGACACACACTGTTTGTATTCGCTGGTCCCCCGATGGCCGTTTGACAACTTTGATTCACATTTTTTTCCCACAGAACACATTGTTTCCACCGAAACCAAAGGCAATGAGTCGCTCTCTGCGGCCACTTGAACCGTTTTAGACACCTTGGGGTCATTTATATCACTTCGTTTAAAAGAAATTAACGATACCTGCTGAAAGTCGCTTTTCCTAGATAGAAATTCTTGACGGTGCCGTTGATGTTTCAATGGTACTGTTATTCTGTCTCCGGTTCGAAGTTACTAGTAACGTGTCCATATACCTGGTGACGGCCACAGCTGCTGCTGGAAAATAGCGTTCCATGTCGTTGTGAAAATATGAGTAACTAAATACTCTACCAATCTTTACCAATTGACGAAGTGCTGTATTCCAGGGTCTGTAGCTTATTCCAACACCAACAACGAAAACTCAGATAAATAGTTAAAATTGTACTTTTAATAACCAGTGTCCAAAACTGGTCAACGGTCATTAATAACGAGATAGTTATCGCTTGGGCGAGTCGTCACCAAGCAAAAGTTACAGTAGAATATTGAACATATATGCAAGCTTAGGATTAAAATAATTATTTAATAATATTTGATCAGAAATGTTCAATTGTACATAGGAAACAGTGTTTAAATAGAGAACAAAATTTGGACATAGCAAGAACGCGTGTTAAGAATAATTACGTAATATATATCGTTACATTAAGTATAAACCCAAACAGTTAAAAGACTTGAAAAGTTGATGAGATATCAATTCAGACATTGGTCAATTACTACTTTACTAAAATGATATAATAAAATATATACAAAGGTACACTATAACACAGGGGGCGGCAAATGTGTCCGAAGTTTCGTTCCGATTTTCACGAAATTCGAACTCAACCATCATAATTGTGTAACGGTGTTATATAAACGGTTTTCTAAATCGGATAAAGTAGAAACCCGATTTTCATACAATCAGGGGTCATAATCCCGGAAGTTATGGACTGGGATCTTTGGAATATAAACATATATTTCAAGTTTCTTCAAAATCGGATAAAACTTGTGTCCTATAGAGGGTCCACAACCGTGGTATTACACACTTTTACAGTTACAGTACTTGCGTATCGGGAGCGACCATTCTGTCAGGCAAATGCAGTCCGACTTTCATGAACTTCGAAATCAACTATGATTATGGTGTAACGGTGCATATTTGAACGGTTTTTCAAATCTGATAAAAATTGTGACCTCTAGAGGATCCACAAACCAAGAACGCGATTTTTCGTACAACCAAGGGCCATAATTAGGGAAGTTACGATCCGATATGCGCGAATATCGACAAGGAACCAAGATCTTTGTGTAATAAACATACATTTCAAGCTTCATCAAAATCGGATGAAAATTGTGGCCTCTAGAGAGTCCACAAGCTTGTAATACCATATTTTTACAGTATTTTGTCCGACAGTTTTGGTGCGCTTTTCAAGAAATTCGAACTCAAGCTACATTATGGTGTAACGGTGATATATTCGAACGTTTTTTTTTTTTAAATCACGTTTTAGCTTGTGGTCCATCTAGAGGTCACATTTAAAAAAACGTTCGAATATATCGTTACACCATAATGTAGGTTCTTTTAGCTTGTGGATTCTCTAGAGGTCACAAATTTTTCCTATTTTAAAAACAGTTTAAATATATCACCATTCAACCACAATGAAGGTTGAATTCGAATTTCGGGAAAATCGAAACAATACTGCCCGACAAAATGGCCGCTCTTTGTACGCAAATTGTGTATAAGTATGTTAAATACGAAGGTTGTGGACCCTTAGAATTCACAATTTTTATCCGATTTCGATGAAACCTAAAATATATCTTTATAATAGCCTATCCCAAAGATGTCACCCCTTTCGATATTCGCGCATTTCAGAGCATAACTTTCTGGATTATGGCCCCTAATTGTACGAAAAATCGATTTTGTTTTTAGCGTTTTCTCTATCCATATCTTGCAAAATGTGGGTGTATTTTGCCTGGCAACCGCTGGTTGTGTAAAGTTATTATATATTATTATGCAATTTAACAATCAAAATACATGTTTATATCATTCATTTTTCTTGCTTTTAGGAAGCCGATTTATATAAACCATTAGCTTGTTTCGTGCATAAAATATTTGGTACATTGTTTTTTTTTATTTCAGGAAACGTATAATGAAATTGTGTATACCAATAGGCTGTATATTAAAGATAATAATGCTATGATAACACGAGAAGAGATGGGATATTTGATAGAATGTCGAATGAATAAAGATACGTCTGTCAACGGAAGTTTCCATTCTTCGAATGTATCGCAAATAATTTCCAGTTCTGGCAACTTCTCGGCTTCAATGAGATTCAGTAGACAAGAGTTTTCAAACTATATCTACACTTACCCTGCCCAAGTGAGTTTGAATGAAACAATTTACGCTCACATTAATCTTGATTCCATGCTTTATTCGCTTAAATCAGTTATAGAAGAGTGTGTAGCAAGGCCTGATAACACTTCACGAACTGACGAAGTATATTACCTAATTAGAAACAGGTACGTAAATATATTATACATTTCGAATGTATATTAAAGATATATTAAATATATATTATGGGAGATTAGATAAAGAGCTGGCAGTTCTCACAATAATAGTTAAAAACTAGATAATGTAAAGGGAATTTGCTGAAAATTTCAGTCAAATTTATCCACTCTGAACCGAGATTTTAGCGATTGAATTTTAGGCCTAGTCTCGATCATCATTACTAAAGTCGGTAGGATAAAAAAGAACATAGTATCGATTATCCAGTTCATGATTAAATTATGAATGGAAGTTGAACAGCAAACCGGAACCTAATCCAATAAACATCGCAGGCTAGCGTTGACATCGAGAGTTGATTATGGTCTGGATAAGTTAATTAATGTCTGATTAATAATTTAGATAATTTTTCAGGCCTAAAAAAGACCTCCAATAGGCAGGTTTAGCTCTTGCATAACGTATGTTTAAAAGGGCTTTGTTTTATGTAAAACCGGTGAAATAGTACGCTTCTTAAGATTATTTTACAGTCCCCTGTAACTATTACAAAATCCTCTATTTACTATTAGTAACCACAAAGAAGATTAACATATTTTTAGCCCCGGAAAACTCAGTTCCAGGCAAACCATTTAATGGCTGAAAACATGATTATTATTTAAACGACATAATTATATGAGTGGAATCCTGCACTTAACCGGCTTACTGCCATTGCAATTGCACTATACATATACTTACGACCTCTGAATGTTCAAAGTGCACGTAACAATTACAAAATCGTAAATAAACCGTTTACATTTTTATAATGTTACCGTTGCATTGTCAAAGGTTGATTAGTTAATATTTTGTTCTTGAAAATGTGTTGTGATTCCTGGACATTAAATGACTCATTTCAGGTGTCCAGTAGATTCAACCACGGATATGGTCCACAACCAGACATCTAAATTCCGGTTCAAAACTTTTGATTTTATTCGGGAAACTGGTTCTGTTTATATAGAATGCAAAGTACACATCTGTACTGCCGATGATAACTCTTATAGATGTACTTGGGGCTGTTCCGGTTATGGTCGTAAGAAGAGAACTGTTGACGTAGAGGAACCTATTACACTGTCTAATGGGCCGTTTGTCTACATCATGGGTAAGTGCAATAGCCAACCAACATATTATTATCATCCTTCGCGTGGTCTTTGTGATTCTGTGATGATTTGACTTTACCAATATAAATTTGGGGGGGAATCGCAGCGTTTTCGTACAAATTTGTACAAGCGACTCCATGTAAACTTGTGAGAAAACTAAATTAATATTTTTAATAATCATGGAAGGTTGGCTTGTCTAGTGGTTTAACGCGTGTGCGTGAAATCATAAGGTCTGTAATTGAGTCAAGAGGCGTGGTTACAAGGAGTTGGGTAGCCTGTCCAAACTCGTGGATTTTCTTCGGATCTTCCGGTTTCTTCCCACGGCTAAAAACCCCTACGCGCAAGCGAATTATTGAATTATTGAACCCTTTGCTTTTAGCTAAGGTAAATTTACCGATTTCCCAAGGATGATTCGGGGAGAGGCGCAATGTGTCTTACACATATTAAGCCAGATGCAAATGGGGTGAAAAGTGAGTGTTTCCTTATGTCATTTCTTTAAAACCAGTAACATGCCAACTGTTTTGTTCTCACAGAAACCACCAGCGAGGATACAGATGTGGACAATGGTGTGACAACAGCTATGGCAGTAGGTATAGGAGTAGGTACAACGGTTGTGGCTGCATTTGTGATAACATTGGTCGTTAAACTCAAACCTGTTCTGATGGCCAGCGCCAAGGTGGCACCCGCTGGTTATATGAGTGTCCCTCAAACAATGTAAACGATATGTTATATTGTCTTTATTTAAATATTTCTTCAAGCTATGAATATATATATATATATATATATATATATATAACCGTATTACATACCGAACGACGAAATATACAGAAAATGAAAGCATCTAAACGAGAAAATAGCTAAAATATGTTGGCCCTACATCAAATCGGCTGATTCGAGAAGAAAATTGCCATTTTTCGGTGAATTTTTGATTTATACGGACGTATTACGCCGTCGACCACGTACGTCCGTCCACAATTTATTTGTGGACACTTTCTACAGGTCACAATTTTTATCTGATTTTGACGAAATTTGAAATATAGGCATATCTCCCAAAGATCTCGGCTCCTTTCGATATTGGCATGTATCGGACCGTAACTTCATGGATCATGGCCCCTGATTGTACGAAAAATCACGTTTTTAGCTTGTGGACACTCTAGAAGTCACAATTTTCATCTGATTTTGATGAAACTGGAAATGCCTGTTTATAACTCAGAGATCATAGTTAGATAAACGCGCAAATCGGATCGTAACTTCCTGAATTATGGCTCCTGATTGTTCGAAAAAACACGTTTTTAGCTTGTGGTCCCTCTAGAGGCAACAATTATTATCGGATTTAAAAAAACGTTTGGATATATTACCGTTACACCCAATGTCGGTTGAGTTCAAATTTCGTGAAAATCGGACCAAAACTACCGGACAAAATGGCCGCCCCTTGTAATCAAATTGTGTAAAAAGAATATGGTGTACACGGTTGTGGACCTCTAGAGGCCACAATTTCGATCCGATTTTGATGAAACTTTAAATTTATCTTTATATCACAAAGATCTTGGCTCGTTTAGATAATCGCGCATATACGGAAGTAACTTCCTGGATTATGACCCCTGATTGTTCGAAAAATCGCATTTTTAGCTTGTGGACCTGCTAAAAGTCACAATTTGTATTCATTTTTTTAAAACGTTTACATATATATCACCGTTACACATGAATGAAGATTGAGTTTGGATTTCGTAAAAATCTGACTGAAACTGCCGGACAAAATGGACCCTTGTTGTACAAAATATCGAGGGTTTTGTTTTTTTTAAGCGTGTTCTCTCTTACAAAATGTGGGCATATCTTCTCTGGCAACCGCTGGTTAAAGTTTTTAAGCGTAGTTCCCTATGTCGTTTAGAATATAATAAACAGGAAAGGATTATGGGTCATAACTATTTTGAGTATTTTCCCACTTAAAGTTTATTAGTTTGCTTTTTGAAACGTGTTGTTATGATATAGTCTACATAGGCTAAATACAGTAACCACATTGTCTATATTATATGATCGGGTAAAAATCAATAGAACTTGTATACCTATCAGTCACGTTCACCAGTTAAAAATTATCAATAATTATTTATCTATTATAGACTTTGATTTCCACAAACCAAGGACAAGTGAATTGCATCGGCCACAATGGGATCTTTCGTTTTAGCTGACTTTACTTTCAAATGATAACCTATATACAATATTGAAAAAAAAATACATATCTTATCAAATACAAACTTTATAGATAAATAGATATTTTAGGCAAGTTCAGATTGGTCAATTGTATATCATATGTTTAATATTAATTTCTTTTTTTTTCGGTCCAAGTATCTTGTACAACCGACAATACGTCGTTCATAATATTATAGCCATCTCTTTGAGCCACAGTGAATTGGTGGTGCAATTTTTTTTTAAGCGCTGGCTGACTGACCAGGATGTCCGGAGTTCTGTCCCGGCGTTGGCCTAGGAAAATCTCCGGTATTTTCTGGCGTGGTTTCCTTTGCAAGTGGGACAGGATGTAGGGCCTTGCAAGTACACGTTATAGTGTGCACGTTAAAGAACCCTTGACAAGAAACATTTTCCCTCATAGCACACTGCATGACGTATGCCCGTCATCATTTTCCCAATTGGTTCAGAACAGTGGCATCTTAAACCTCATTTCATTTCAAAATCTTTCAATAACCTGTTTAATTAGCAGACTGTCGTAAAGAAACCCGTATTTATATGTGTTTTTTTTTATCTATTAATAATTGCCAATTATAAAATGGTGATACAATTATATCTATTTTTTTGGTTTGTATACCCTATGTATTAGTTGCCAATTATCAAATAGTGATACAATTAAATCTATTATTTGTGTTTGTGTATTATTATAAATAACCGAGTGCTTCTTTCGATTTAGTGCAGTTAGGTGTGTTTGTGTAATATCATCATGTTTGTATACCCTATGTATAACTTGACAATAATTATGGTGATGCAATTAAATCTTTTTTTTTTCCTTTTGATTTAGTGCGGTTAGGTGTGTTTGTGTACTATTATCCTGTTTTGTAGCCTACACTCATCAATGTATCAATCGTTTAATGCGTTCTCTATTTTTATTTTTATATTATACTATATTCAATCATTATACCTTTCCTTTCTGTGCTATATTCCAGGTGTTTTAAAAGAGGGGGGGGGGGGATTTTAGATTATATATTTATGGTGACTTTTTTGTGATACCAGAATCTGATATTATACCATAAACCTATTAAACAATAAAATGTTCTTTCTTTCTCCTTTTGTTTTTATTTCTGTGCGTTCTTTCGTTCTATATATATATATAGAATGGCATCGATCTATGGAAATACTATGCAGTCTATCTCATGATACTGTACTAATTAATTTGATTGTTTTTTAGTTGATACGGGTAGAAGTGTGGGTGGCTAAGTGTGGGGGCAATTGGGGTGGGGTGGGGTATCGGGTGCGTAGTGGAACGTATTGTACCCAAGGGTTTTATTCTTATAGAACTGAAGACCGACATACGTTCTCTGTGTACTCAAACTGTTTAGGGATTCTCGACGTACGGTAGGCCTACACACAAATGTACATGTACAGTGCTAGGACTATCTAGGAAAAAGTGCTAAATTTTGGATGTTTGGGTTTGGTTTGATTTTAATTGCTTGGTATGCTGATCTAAACAACATGTCCTTCTTGAGTAGCATTGCCCTAATATAAATTACATAAGCGCTGACAACTATGAACCGGCCAGTGTGAGTATCAAATAACTTAACATTTTAATTTCTAAAATAAAAATCTCATTTTATATAAAGTCTTTGATATCAGTTGTTTGGTCTTCCAAAAACCAAGTTTTATCATGCTGATCTATTTTTGTACGCCCACATTTTCAAGTGGACGTGTATTGAGTCGCCCCTGTCAGCCCACAATTTATTTGTGGACACGCGGTTCCTTTCGATATTGGCATTTTATCCAATATTAAAAGCTGTTCTAACATATCACCATATGATGGTTGAGTTCGAATTTCACGAAAATCGGATTGAAACTGCCCGCTCCTCGTTAGCAAATAGTGTAAAAGTATATAATACCAAGGTTGTGGACACAGTAGAAGTCACAATTTTTTTTATCCGATTTTGATCAAACTTAAAATATATGTCTATATTCCACGGATTTTTGTTTCTTTCCATATTCGCACATATCGGTCCATAACCTCTTAGATTATGGACCTTGGTTGTACCAAAAATTACAGTTTATACCCGATTTTAAAAACTGTTTGAATTTCGTGATGATCGGATCGAAGGCTGTGGTCCCTCTAACGATTTGTATCCGGTTTTGAAAAAATCTTAATATTATATGTTTATTTATCAAAGATCTCGGTTTGATGTTCTCGTATATCGGGCCTAACTTCTTGCCTTGTGGCCCCTAATGTACGAGAAATCGTGGGTTTTTTTTAGCTTGTCGGATTATATGTTCATATCCCAAAGTTCTGAGTTCCTGTCGATACTTCAGACCGTGTCTGCCTGGATGATGACCTCATTTTTTAGCTTGTTCTCTGTCCATCTCTTGCGAGATGTGGGCGTCTCTTGCATGGTAACCGCTTTTTTCAAATATATTTCATATTAAAATTCACATTGTATATCAAAGTATCTAAGTCTTTAACTCAATATCATCAACAGTCTTCCGGCATTGAAAACACGAATTATTTGTCAATTTAAATGAACGTTGATGTTGTGATTTTACCAGGAAAAGATAGGCCTATGCTTATGATATCCAAATTGTATAGAAGACTATAACTACCGTTCATAATCTCTACTTTTCGTCTCTTCAAAACATGAAAGTCAAAAAGTCGAAAAGTAGAAGTTACGACAAAATGAGAAGGGGTGATTCATCTTCTTAACAATGAAGGGTTTTCTCTGGATCCGCTCACTGCTAAAAAAAAAACCACTGTGCAAGAAAATTATTGCGTTAAAAATGTAGGGTATGTTGGTCCAGAAATGACCTAGTTTGTGTTGAATGGAAGTTAAGTCTCAATTCTCTCTCACTTTTTCTCTCTCTCTCTCTCCATTTTATTGGGTATAAAGTAAGAAATATGTCAGTAAATGAGGTCAGTGTTTAAGAGTATTTTGTTAATGATCTGTTAACTCACCTGACCGTTATAACATGGGATAGAATAGAATGATAAATATAGTATGATATACAGATTATAGAATAGAATGATAAATATAGTATGATATACAGATTATAGCCCTCGACTTCTTCACTCCTGCCATCTTTTAACAGCAAAATCACTAAAACAAAAGTCTGCCATTGAAAAAACGAACAGTCATCATCACGTACTTATCCCACACCGAACAAAGTTAAGGGTTTCGTCTGTACTTCCTTTTTTTTCCAGAACAGATCTAATAAACCATTTAAGATATGTTTATGAAACTTTGTTCCCATCATCCTATTATAGTAATTGTGCCATTTTTTTTTATACGCCCACATTGAAATGTGGTCGTATATTGTTGTTAACTATTATAGTGAGAACTGCCAGCTCTTTATCTTATCTCCCATAATGTATGTTTAATAGTGTTAAACAAAGAATATTGGAGACAGGTGATTAGGGAAATATGATATAGATATAAATGGGGGGTAATTAAGGTGGATTAAGATTCATTAAAATATAGCTGACTGAACTAAGTAACACTGTGCGGATTAGTACAACGTATTAAACATTTACTATTGGGCTGTAATTATCAATTGTAAGAATAATGCATATTTATAAACGAATTTCACCCTACGAGTTCTTGATGTGGAAATTTACACGGAAATATTTATTTATGGCTAGGGATATGATATCATATCTTTCTTATCTAAATTACATCATGCTTATTGTAAATTTCCACATCAAGAACTCTGTGGTGACAGAGAATATAAGTAATATTGTTATAATACATTATTGAAGGTGTACTGTTTTGTTGACATTGACAATAAATTCGCGTTAACAAAATAGTCTATAAAGTCTAGTATTGATGGCGGGGGGGTTGGATGGCTGAATGGTTAGCGTGCGCGCGCTGTATCATAAAGTCTGTAATTGAGTCGACTGGCGTGGTTTCGAATCCCCGGTTGTACGTGACAAGGAGTAGGGTCGCCTGTCCAACCTCGTGGGTTTCCTCCCACTGCTAAAGACCATAACGCGCAAGCGAATTATTGAAATAAAATTAAACCATATGTTAGTCCCGAAATGACCTAGTTTGATTTTGGCTTGCTGTCGTACTGTTGTCTTTTCGCCTCGGAAGTTGATGTAGTCTCTACTTAAAATTTCAAGGTAACTTTTCGTGATTTGAAGGGGCGAAAAGTAGAAATTATGAATGGTAGTTATAGGCTTCCATAAAATTGTAAGACAAAATAAACATTTTACCATTGGTTCACGAATGCCTTTAGGTGCCATTTATAACAAGGGACTCGAAGGACGGGGCTAGATATATTCCTCAAGTAATTCAAACGGTTACGTCATATTCCTATCTGGGGAGCATGCGCAATAAATACTAAATCAGTTTATGTACATTCATATTACATTATTATTTGTGTTGCGAACCATGTGTCAATTTCTAGGGCCTAAATATTAGCGATTTAGCTCCTTTAAATAACAAATACATGTAGATTGTTTTGGGGTGACATTTTCCTTAAATAATCAGTAAATGTTCATATTTTTGCAACCCTTGTTTTACTTATGAATATTAATCTCCACAAGAAAAAGTTCCAAAATCATTTAATTGGTTAACATCAAATTGGTCATGTAGATTGTTTTGGGGTGACATTTTCCTTAAATAATCAGTAAATGTTCATATTTTTGCACCAAAATAGATAATTTTGGATCAAATTTTGTTTTACTGATAATTGATAAGTTCGTAAATAGTATTGTACGATGGATCAATAGGCCATTAATATTTCGATATTGACCCCGTTCTATAGAAATCAATATATAATTGGCAAGAGTTATACAATCGTAATGTCCTCAACAACCCTTGTTTTACTTATGAATATTAATCTCCACAAGAAAAAGTTCCAAAATCATTTAATTGGTTAACATCAAATTGGTCAATATCAAAGTATATGAGTAAAATAATGTAAGATATTTTATACCCTGGCTTAGACAAGCTGCTGTAGATATTACATCAAATTAATAAGCTTATTATTACATTATGTAATAGTTGAAGCAATTTTTTCATAGAATCTGATTCCAAACCCATCTAGCTTTAGTTTTACATTCTAAATATAGATCAGTGTAATATATACAATACACCATCGGAAAAGATACTAATTGGGCTACAATTTATTATCTTTGAAAGGTTGATGACAGGATTCTCTTCAACAAATCTTTGACTTGAGGTCACATTCCCAAACTTGAAGAAATCTGGCTGTGTAGGGCCTCCACACGGGGCTCCGGTTTAATATCCCGTCCGAACGACTAGAGGCTGTTTCTTGCCAACTGGACGGCGTTTGGCTAGAACAGATTGTGCTCCTGGGTTTAATGCTTTATTAAAATAGGAAAATATCACACGCAAAAATTTAGCAAATGAATTTTGTTACCTATACTGGCTTCCATCTCAAACTATTCGCAAAAACACTTCCTGTTTCGGTCAAGGCCGTACTAAAGTCACGAGTATCCCTGCTGATCTAGCAGACCGTATTTATATTGTGAGTCTTGAGAAAGTCTCGGGACCTCCGCAAATATTGAATGATGAATTACTTTATTTACTTACTATCGTTTTTTATATGTTCCGCTCAATGTGCTCCACAAAATGTATTTAGCAGTGCATCAAGCTGTGGATACAGTGTAAGTTCTCTATGTATAATATTATTTAAAACGCAAAAGATAAAGTAAAAGTAGACAAGCGTAGGTGGAATTTGTCTGGTAGTAGTTACCCACTCACTGCACAAGCAAATACTTAGAATATCTATAAACTCATGTTCATGATAAACAATAGTTTAGAGCAAAACCATTTCTGTCGGATCTTCCTGCACCTAAATGAGGGTCCATCAACAGATTTGCCCAAAACAACACATAAATTTTTATATTGTTTTCTTACTTTTCTGTGTGTACAGATTGAGATGATTGATATTACCTATACTTTACTCGTTTTCTAAAAAAAAATGTAAATAATGGAAGAAAAAAGCAAGAAAGACAACTTTTATTGTCATCATAGTGGGTTGTTTCATCCCATCCAATTTCTAGATTGGTCTTGTTTTACTTTATTATCATCATATATTTTTAAGTTTAGATACCGGTAATACAATAAATTTTGAATAAAGGAAGTGGATAGACGACCGGATTTGGTTCCTTACGAAAATTTACTACGAAACCGGATATCGTCTCTGATTGGCCAATTTCATCACGTGGTTATTCTATCGCGATAGGTTTGGTTCTAACCCTAACCCTAACCCTCACTTTCTTGCATTTTCTAATGTCCGCGTATCTCTTCGCCAATATGTCACTTTATTCTTAAATTCAAATTGTTTCATCGCCTCTAAAGTGAATTTAGAGTCGTAAATTCATCACCAACAAGGATGCCTGTAAAGGCCGCCATATTGGAAAAGACTGCTAATAACCATGTGATAAAATTGGCCAATCAGAGACGATATCCGGTTTCGTAGTAAATTTTCGTCAGAAACCGAATCCGGTCGTTTATCCACTTCCTTTCCTAATACAAACGTCTTGTAACTATTAATTTCAATATTATTTTGGGCGATCCTGTTTTGATCAGACTTTTTTTTACTATTTCCATCACTTTTAAATTCCATCACATTACTTTTACATTCCATCACTTTTACATTTTAGGATTAGGTTTAAATTCCATCACATTACTTTTATATTCCATCACTTTTACATTTTAGGGTTAGGGTCAGGTATTTAAGATTAAAACCTATAAATTCAGGGTTAGGGGTTAAAGATTAAAAGCAATGAGTAAGACAAAATCTTCAACAACAATGAAATATTGAGACACAAAAATGGGAGTCACATCAAACATGAATGCCTTATTTTGTGGGGATCAGTTATAAATTAGCAATAATATGGGTGAAACAAGAATGCTAACTCTTATACTGCAATTTGTATTATTTTCTTCTTAAAATGATTTACTTGTAATCCATATCAATATTTGGTTTAAACAATATTTTTTCATAAAATATCATATGACATGACAATTTTAAAGATATGTGACAAACAGGTTCTCTATATGAATTTGGTTCATACATGGCTATATTATTTACTTAAAGATAAAGATAGATTTTTATAACAAGTTAGCCCTTCTTGCTATAACACTTCAAAAATAGATGATGAAAGAAGAATATATTGAAAATTTCAGTCAAATTACTTTATTCTGAACATAGTTATCACCAGTGTAATTTTTGACTAGAAATGGGATTGAATTCCATCTTCACCGATTCTTAGTATTGCCGATCATTTGATTGACAGGCGTTAACTCGACCTAAATAATCTCTGCTGTCTTTTGTCTGCTGTCATCATATCCGAATTTGTGTTTTACCTTTTTGGATTTTTATAACAATTGGATAAAATGAGTGAGAGGGTAAATTTTCATTCTTACTTGTATTTTGGGCATGCATTAAATCAATTGAATATAGGACATAATATTATGATACAATTATGATAAATCTATAGGTATACACCAGTGGCGTCGTGCCTATTATTGGGGAAATAAAAATATTTTTATTGATATTATTAAGACAGAAGACCTATCAGTCTGTATTAGTCTTCATAATTTGTCATTATCTGTGTTTAGTTTATTGCACTTTAAATAGTTTAGATGTCATTTGTTAAGGCATCGCTCAACAGCGGCCTCGCTTCATACACTCTATCATTTAGCCTCGATCCGGGAGTATGACGTCAACGTAACGGTTAATCTCTGCTCACGACGCCATTTATAATTAAATCAGTCAACGTAATCATGTTTAAATCCAAGCTGAATCCAAGCCATCCGTGGGTCTACAGAGTTGATTTTGTGCTTGTTGTGTAAATAAAGATCTAATTTATAATTTTTATGACATCTGAAGCCCAAATAAAGACTTGCAATAATCAGATTTAGCTCTTGCATAATGTATTTTTAAGGTACATGTTTTATGACGAGGAAACCTAAAAAAAAAATAATATAAATAAATAATATGAATAAATAATATAGATAAATAATTTATAAATAAATGAAAAAAAATAAATGAGTACCAGACCGTTCTACACCACACCAACTCCCTAAATTAGGCTACATTGATACAGTTAAAGGACCTAAGTCCGTAACTCAAAATCCTCCAAAATCTTCGACATCGAAAACACGAATTATTGGTCAATTTAAATCAACATTGATGATGTAAACTTACCGGGAAAAGATGAGCTTCTGATATCCGATATTTAAGATAAAATAATTTTTTTAACATTGGTACACGAATCGTGTACCATAATGCGCTTCAGCCCCAGTTGTATTGAGAGACTCGAGGGACGAGGCTAGACACATTGCACCAAATCAAATGGAGTTATGTAGACTAGAATAACTAGACGCTAGAAATTTGCACTCGATTGAGATTGCTGACTTATTTCGCCGAAAATAGCTGATTTGAAATTGGAGTAAAAACGGAAACCATTAAATGTAAATCAGTTTATATACATTCATATTACAGTATTATATGCGTTGCGACCCACTTTTGTCAATTTCTAGGTCCCAAATGTTAGCGATTTAGCTCCTTTAATGTTAAAGACATCAATATTTGGTGTTGTAGAGTTGTAAACCGGTTAAAGATAGGATAATCTATATTAATATTTGTTATTGTAGAGTTGTAATCCAGTTAAAGATGGGATGATAAATGTAATCTATCAATATTTGTTATTGTACTTGTAGAGTTGTAATCCTGTTAAAAATGGGATGATTAATGTATGTAATCTATCAATATTTGTTATTGTAGAGTTGTAATCCAGTTAAAGATGGGATGATAAATGTGCATTTGGTACCACATACACACGATGATGTTGGCTGGTTGAAAACAGTTGATCAATATTTTTATGGAGGTTTGTTTATTGTCTATACGATCAAGAAGGGTGTGTGAGTGGCCAGATGACCATTTAAGAAATGCTAATTGAAACCCAAATTCATTCATGCATATAGAAGAGTTGTGTATTGTTATTAACAATTACACAAGACAAACCTTTGGACAGGAAAAAATACACACAGACACCTCAAACAAACAAAATATCGTTGGGGAGTCAAAAGGTTGTATCTGGAATATTTTGCGAAATTCACTTTTTTGCTTCTTCAGAATGAGGATTTTCTTGCGTATCTTTTCATCTAGTTGTCATATTTCTAAGCCAATAAAAAGAGGTTTTATAGATATTGTTTCAAAATGTCGTATATGGGGTGTTCCCAAAAAAAAAAAAAAAAATATTAAGAGTGAAAATGTCGTATTTTTAAAAAAAAAAAAAAAAATCAACTTTGTGTCTAACCAAAGTATTACAATCAAATGAAATGTAGCCAGTATTGTTTTATAGTTAAGTATGTATTGTTGAGCGTCTACTGTGTGAATTTTATGAAATTGAAGCATTTTCCTGAGATACATCTTTGCTGTATAAAATTGCAAATAACTAGCTTTCACTCTTTATTTCTGCACTAAATGTTGAGCTTGATACGTGCGGATAGTTACATATATTTTCACTTTACCTTGATGAATTGATTGATATTTTATTATATTAATATCTTTAATTATTAAGACATACCTAGTATAGTAACTCATTATATCAAAGTTTATGACAATTGTGCACATTGTATGTATGTTCTATGGGTCTCTGACCTTGAAAATGTAATAAAACAGTCTAAACTTTAAAACTTTAATGGCTACACATACACTTTGTACAGAAATATTTAAGAAAAGCTTCAGAAATACGACATTTTACATACAACATTTTGACTTGACGGTTTTATTAGACATTTTGATTCTTAACCTGTGTGTGTTTTTTGGCTCTCCTGGACAATTTCGCAAAATCCAGATACAATCTTTTGACTCCCCATCGACGATATATCAGACCAAGTAATTGAATGAGGGGCTAACTGTAAGCATCCACTGCAGCCTACTATACAATCTTGAGCCTATAGTGATGTATATCAGATCAAGTGATTGGCTCCGGGAGCTAGTCGTAAGCGTCCCGGGCCTGCACTCGAAATTTGAAGCTTTGCTAATTACCGTTAAATGATTGCATTAGGCTACAGTTACATGTATCTTTCTTATCTCGATGATAATTGAGTGTCTTTAGCATGAATTTGAGAGATAAACAAGATAGTTAGAATACAGCCAACTGATTGTTGCATCTAGTTGAATTTAAATTATAAGGTTATACAATCTAGTTGATTTATGTCACATGAGGTTGGCTTGACAATTCTTATAAACTCACTACAGATTAGAGTTTATATAAACTTAATAGAGATTTAAAAAAAAATTTGTCGCACAATGATTTTTAGTTGAGTTATTGCCCATGTTACCGAAACCTTGAAAGCCCTCTACAGAACAGCATGCTTAAATTGTTCAGCTAAGGATCCTTTAGACATGTAAAGCCATCCATCAATTTTATGCATTGTTATGGTTTCTGATCCAAAAACTTAACAGCAATCCTTCAAAATGATGTCATTATCAGGCAATACTATATTTCTATGACAGCAAGCTGGAAAACTTTTGTTACTTAAATTTTGCTTTGGGTTAAAAATGGCACTGAAGCAGTTCTAAAAAATGTGATTGGATATTTCTAAGATTTACCTGAGAAACATTGATATGAATGAAACAGGGCTTTACAAACTACCTTCCTGACAGGTTTTTAAGGTAGATCTTTTGATTTGGACATATGAATGTGAATAATTAGTAATAAGGTCCAGACAAACTATCCTAAAATTATTTTGCACAACAATGACCAAAGTATTGTGTAGATGAGACACCCCCCCCCCCCCAACCATAAGCATGAACCATCCATTTTTGAATATTGGTTTTAGTTAAAAATTGATTTATTCTGAAAATTTGGGTAACAAAGAAAATTTTCGGGCAGATAATCTCAAGCATTCCATTCCTATAAACACTTATTTATTATCAGTTATCTTAAAATTTATGAAATGTTCAATATTTTGTTTTCTGTATAATTTTATGTAATTCTGCTCTGTTTATAGATAAAAATGATATACAAATAGCTGGAGTACAATATATCTTAGATTCCGTTATTCCACAATTGATCAACGATCCATCTAAAAGATTTATTTATGTAGAAATAGCATTTTTCGCAAGATGGTGGCGAGAACAGACGGACAGTATGAGACACGTTGTCAAGGGATTAGTAGCAGAAGGTAATACAGGTCACAATATATTTGGATAATGAGTTGAATCAACAACGTGGGTTGACAAATGTGTGCAAATTGGTGTACTAATATATTATATGGTGAGGGAGGAAGGGGCCATCCAATCAAAGAGTGAAATTGTGAAATAAGACATATTTAAAATGTCTTCCTTTCTCATATTTCTGAGCATCCGGTATTAGATCTTGTACTTGAGTCTTGGGGGGGGGGGGTAAACAATCAAGGAGTTAGCCAGAGGCATTGCCAGACCTCAGTATGCCACTGTATGTGTGTGAAACATATTAAACCAGTGAATGTGAAAAGCCTATTCTTTACATCGCATGTATTTGATTGAAGTATTTGACTATTTAAAGCAGTGATTCTCAACCATTGTTCCTCAAAATTTGAATGGCACTCTAAGAAAATGCAAAAAAACCATGTGATCCATCCGACTTACCTTGTTTTTATTTTGCAAAATTCAAATATTTTTCATATATATTTAGCCAGGTGTGCCACTATTTTTTCATGTGTTCCAAGGTGTGCCATTGGCGAAAAAAGATTGAGAACCACTGATTTAAAGTCTCTGATCCACATTTCAGTGATTTTGAATCACTTGCCAACTGCAATGTGAAAATTAAATCTCGTAAGAAATATCAGTATCAGTCCAAAAGGGTTCAATTCAATTCTGTATATACAATGATATGATCGTGAGTTCAAAATTTGACATGGTCAAAACAACCCAAATTCATTTTGATGAAAAAAGGAAAGAAACTGAGCTTACCATCTATAATCTAATACACATATTCAGTTAATAGATTGCCATGCAGAAAGTATTAAATACCATCAAGATTCATCAAATAATGCCCAGTTTGTGCTACGGTTTAGTTTAAGAAACACCATTTAGTTTTGACATCGGTCATCTAGTTTATGACCTTTTAGTTAAGTTTTGATATTGGTCATCCAGTTTATGACCATTTAATTTCATAAACTAGACATCCAAGCACAAACTGGGCGGTTTTGGATGAATCTTGATGGTATTTAACACTTTCTGCATGACAATCTATTAACTGAATATGTGTATTAGATTATAGATGGCAAGCTCAGTTTCTTTCCCTTTTTCATCAAATCTGAATGATACTCGGTCCCTAGTGATATGCAGATACATCATTGGATTCATTTAGGAGAACACATATTTAATTGGTCGTTTTGACCAATCTATGGCCGTTTTGAGCAAATGTTTGTGCCATTTTGTCTATAATCATAATCCATTTAAACAATCCAGCACCACCTATAAATTTATTAACATATGAATTAAAACTCAGGGTGGACTTCCATTAGATAACTCAAATTTAAAATTAAACAGAAACTGATGAATCCATGGTTGAAAAATTTAAAAATGCTTAAAGTATACCTGAGTTCTTGATTCAGTCATATTTGTCAGTCTTGATTGACAGGCAGTGAAACTGACCATGTAGATGACATACCTGTCAGTCAAATTTACATGCAATAAAATGAGAATTTAAAAATAGGAATGCATCTATAAAAATTTGGATGATTGTAATACTAAAAGTTGTTTCATTCTTTGGAAAAAACATCTTTGGTGAACAAAATACATAATTGACTGTATGAAAACTTTCTATTTGAAATGTTTTGTATTATTTTCAGGACGTCTGGAGTTTATTCTAGGAGGATGGTGTATGAATGACGAAGCTTCAACTCATTATAATGCTATCATTGATCAACACACAATTGGTTTTGAATTTTTACGCCAAAACTTCAAAGATTGTGGCCGACCAAGAGTAGCATGGCAAATTGACCCATTTGGTCATTCTAGAGAACAGGCTTCATTATTTGCTCAGGTATTTAATGAATCTTATTCAGACGGCCATATATATAAGTAGTAGATAGTAACCGCTTTCCAATTTGTTATTCAAAATAAAAATTCTAAGGGAAAGGTCCCCCGGTTTTATTTCAAATAACAACCGTTGAAATAGGTTGCTATCTGACAAACTATAAAGATTGTCGCCAAATATTGCTCGCGCACATGAAATTCAAAGCAGGTGGTTATTTGGGGTTAATATTATCACAACATCAACCCGATTTGAAGGTTGATAAATGGAATAGTCACCATAAAACATCAAAATATAAAGTTGCTATGGGAGATATAGTCTGGACTCTGGAGATGTGTAAGTTAGTTTAAAAACACTGACAGACAGTAAAATTAATTATCCTACTTGAAACCGCCAATTTCCACAAAAAGTAATGAAATGTGTCTTTCAAAGATGGCTCAAGCTGTCAATTTTGAAATGACCCATTCAGATAGCCAAGATAAGCGGTTCAGATAAAAGGCCTTCTCGAAGACCGGTTTACTTGCATTTATACATCAGAGTTGAGTTAGGGTAATGCTCTTTGGGGTTTTTCTACCAACTTTATATTCTTAAGTATCTGAACAGCACACAGTTAATAATTTGACAAACTCTTAGGCAAAGATCTTCTGGTCATCTCATACCTTATGGGGATCATTTTAAGAAATGTGTGAAAAATGAATATTATCAGTATATTTTTGATATGATTTATTAATTTTAATCACATGTTATGTGTATATTTTTAATATGATTTATTAATTTTGATCACATATTATGTGTATATTATTAATAAGATTTATTAATTTTAATCACATAGACGAAACAATTATATCTAATGTATATATACTGTGAATCGCCTGTTGAAATCGGGAGGTTTGAAATTCCAAGTACACTTGATTTTTAATAATGAGTAGGAAATTAATCTATGTCTGAACTTTTTAAACAGATGGGCTTCGATGGTTTATTTTTTGGACGTCTGGATTATGAAGACAAAGCAAACAGACTGAAAAAAAAGACAATGGAGATGATATGGAAAGGAAGTCCTAAAAATTTGGGTAAACAAATTTTTTATATGTTATATTTTAACTTGATCAATCAATAATTAAGTGTGAGATAAGTTTAATTTTATAGAAATATTGTACTTCTATGATTACAACTGGGAGCTATAACCCATGCATGTAACCAATTAGATCAGGAGCCACAATAGGGGTGTATCTATGTCCCAGTATTGGTGAATGGTGTCACTGCCTTACTTCCATTCTAATTGCAGTATTATACTGAAAATGTATAAAATTCTCACAGGCAATTGGCAATTATGAACAGGTTTCAAAAATTGTTTAAAATCAAGTCGTATGTTCACAAAATACCCCTTGTAATCTCACATGCCACACAACTGTTATTTTGTCAACCTAACTGATTTTCTGTTGTGTCGTATATATGATTATTTAGTCTCGGTCACCCAGCACCTCCTAGTCTTCAACGTATGGAGGGTCTGGGACCGTTGTCTATATTTGGCAAAAAGTCCATTGCCCATGTGTAATCTGGAGTTTGGTTTTTAATGTGGTTAATTATCCAGTATCTTTGGCCAAGTCAAGTAAGAGTTTTGCCCCTTCCCGCAATAAATCCCATAACTCTTGCATTAATATAAACAAACATGAATCATGACAACGAATTAGGATTAATTTAAAAAACATATATATGGCCTATGAAGAGATCAACTTTATGCTAAAAAAATAAGAGTGTTAGATATTGAAATTGCAATGCAATCAAATGGATTTTTTTAAATGGCATTCTTAAATTAATTTCATGGGCGTCAACATCTTGTTTTAGGACTAGTTACTTCCCTTAGACTTTATCTATAATACTGTAAAAGACCGGATAATCCAGCCAATGACATATTATTCTCAAATGCTGAAAATGAATCCAAACTAATATTCGTAGAATATTTTTCTGGATGATGGAGACTAATGATTATTATAGAAATAAAACTTGTATTTCATGATTGAAGGATCTGTATCCGATTTATTCACTGGGGCTCTGTATAATGGATATGGTCCACCAGGTGGATTTTGTTGGGACACAATCTGTGGTGATTCACCTGTTATGGTAAATATATAGATTAATATAATATTCATTATTAATGAAGGTTCAACATCAGAATTATTTACTGGTGCTCTGTTTGATGGATATGGTCCACCGGGTGATTTTTGTTGGGACATTAGATGTAATAGTGACCCAATAATGGTATAAATTAATGTAGCTCTTTAATGTAACTTTTTAAACCTTGCAATAACCTGCTTGCATCGAATACTTCATTTGTATAAATTGCTTTATTTGCATACTATTCAATAGTCTTTGCAGCAAAAAATAAGGATAAATAGTATTTCTGTACAATTTTATTATTTATGGCTATTTGTTTTGTTTGCTTGTCTGTAGACATTTATAAGAAAATAAGCCAAAAATATTCCCCAACACATTTTAAGCATACAACATAATATATTTCATTCAACAAACATTTTTCATAATACGTTTTATTTAGTATTACAAATTCTTTGGGTATTTTATTTTTTGTTTCATATTTATGTGCCCATATTTTATAATTATTTAAAAGATTTAATTAAGATAAAATGTAATCTCAATATTTTTTTTATTTTATTTTAATCTGTTTTTGATTAGTAGATATTATAACGGTTTCCCAGATTTTGTTGCATGTGGATTTTTATTTTAACATTGTGGACTTAAAGTAATTGTTGCAAATTAGATCACATGCAAACTTTGTTCCAGCTTTTCCATTTCCAAGATACAGAAAACTGTAATGATCCACATTGTAATTTATTCACAGCAACTAATTCTGTAGTGTAATAGAAGTGCAGGAAGACCGCACCACACATAAACAAAACCTATGAGACAAGCCCACAGAGAAGGTGCACAATACACACACACACTGCAAGCAATAAACAACAAATCAAGAATATATCAAATTTTGACGACAGCCATAAATGGCTCTTAGTATGCTAGGACGTCTGTTTCTTTATTTCCAGTAATGATGTGAGTCTGATAAATAAACAGAACCTTTAAATTTATAAGGAGAGTTCTGGTGCCTCTTTAACTTTAAGTATTGTGCTCAAAATGATTAATATGTAAGACTGATTATTTTAATAGGATGATGATCGTCTACATGATTATAATGTACCAGCAGTGATGCAAAACTTAGTTAAAGCTGTAAATGACCAGGTAATTCATTATATAAATTATTATAGCATAACGGGAGGAGGAGGGTAGGGGGATATCGACAACACTCCCTTGAAGGAGTAGCAGATAGATCTGGGTAGGTGCTGACTCAAAAACAGATGCAGGCTGAGAGAGTAGACATGAATAGATGATGAAATGTTACCATTGAACAAAAAGTACAGACCAAATAAGATAAGATCAGATAAATTTTACTGCATATAAACACACAAAGGGAGCAGCATAAAATATAAAATTACCATATATGGTGGTCAACAAACATGTACACAATATTAGAAGCCATTACTCATTGTTACAACATACATGTATTATTGCCATCTTGGGAGTAAGGCAGTGGCTCACTAACCAGCAGGGCTTGGCAAGGAACAGCTTCTAGTAATCCGGAAGAACCAAAAAAACGAGGTTCTGTGCACATGTTGGTGTGCATGTAAAAGAGCTCTTGTTAGTTGGAATTGCATTGAAAACTTGAAAACCACCCATCAAAAAGTGTATATTCATTGTTACTTTATGCACTCCAGAGTTATTTTGATTAATTAATTAAGTGCATTGATCTTTTGCTAACATATAATATTCCATTATTTCAGGCCAAACATTATCAAACCAAACACCTTATATGGACTATGGGATCAGATTTCCAGTACAGTAATGCCAATACTTGGTTCAAAAACTTGGATAAACTCATAAAATATGCTAATGCCATGGTAGGTGAAAACGTATTTGATATATTTCATTATTATTATTATTATTATTATTATTATTATTGTTCGATTTATATAGCGCTTCATTACACATGAGTGTTTCTAAGCGCATTCACAACAAAACAGTTCAAAAACATTTTTGAAATAAGTATGTTTTTAAGTTAGTCTTAAAGCTCTGGATGGAAGAGGACTCTCTAAGAGTTTTTGGAAGATCATTCCACATTTTAGCTGCTCTGACGGAGAAAGCATATTCACCAGAACGCTTATTATATTTGGGGATCCTCAATATGCTACGATCACTTGAAGAACGAAGGTTGGATCGCCGGGGAGTATAGAAATCAAAGAGTTCTTTTAAATAACTGGGTGCGGTGTCAGAATAGATTGATTTAAACACATTCACAAGAGCTTTAAATTGAACCCTCGCTCGAACTGGAAGCCAATGGAGTTTCTGTAACTTAGCTGATATATGATCAAATTTTCGTGTTTTAGTTATAAGACATGCAGCATTGTTTTGCGCTATTTGTAGTCTGTTTAAAGCTGTTTCTGGTGCTCCTAGAAGAGAATTTGCATAGTCCATGTGCGATGTTACTAATGCTCTAGCAACACTCTGGCAAGCATCAGTATTAAGATTAGAGCGTATTCTCGAAATAGCTCTCATTTGATGATGCATTTTCCGTATGATACTATTGATTTGGGGAACTGGGGACATAAATTCATTAGTAACATAGCCGAGATATTTAGCCTGCTTCTTGGGAGATATAGAGCAATCACCGATCTGAATGGAATCCGCTTTAAACAATTTACTGGATTGTGATTTTGATGATATAAGAAATTCGGATTTGTCATCGTTAAGTTTTAGCCTATATATAATTATATAATGCTAAATATGATATGTAGGCAGCAAAAAGTCTTTTAGTCATATTAAATGTTAATCTCTGACCCTTGCAATGTTCTAGAATTAAGTCCATTAGTCCATTGTTTATCTCGCTATGATGTCATTTAAGATTTAGAGACTTCAAACATTCAATTCACAAAGTTTTAGATACCATAATGTAGAATATTTTGACTCCATGCTAGGAATGGATGTAGGTTGATGTCTATTATTATTAATTAATAACAATATTACAAGAAAGCCTGAAATGTAAAACGTTAGGAGTTATAAGTATGTGTATACTTCCAGTGTTTATCGTTGGAATTCTAATTTATACAGTAGTTACCAGTGTATGTCATTTATTGAATTTTACATTTATGTAGCCTTCTACTACACATCACCTAAACAATAGTTCGAAAAAGCCTTATATCATAATATGACCATTATGTTCTATACCAAAATATTGTATTGGGACATTGGTGTAAAGACAGAATATAATTATGCAGTCTTTTCAATATCGGTTTTAATTTAGAAACTTATATTTATAAGATGATATTTTATATTTTAATAGCAATCTAATGGTAGTACTATAAATTTGTTATATTCCACTCCATCATGTTATTTGGATCAATTGAATAAAGCTGGTTTAAAATGGACAACAAAGGAAGATGATTTCTTTCCGTATGCTAGTAGAGGTCATGGCTACTGGACAGGTTATTTCACCAGTCGCACAACATTAAAGTACTATGTTAGGAGAACCAATAATTTCCTCCAGGTATTTATTTATATTTTGTTTCTGTTTATCTAATGGTGTTCCTGTTTATATTGTTTCTCTGTTAATCAATTTTATTTCCGTTTATCTATGTTGTTTCTGTTTATCAATTTTATTGCTGTTTAGCTATGTTGTATCTGTTTAGCTATGTTGTTTGTTGTTTCTGTTTATCTATATTGGTTCTTATCAGTGTTCTTTTTTATACTGTCTTCGCCCCTGTCCATCCGTCCGTCCACAATTTTTTTTGTGGACACTCTCAGGTCACAATTTTTTCACAATTTTGACGAAACTTGAAATATAGGTCTATCTCTCAAAGATCTCGGATCTTTTCGATATTGACATGTATCGGACCATAACTTCATGGATTATGAATCCTGATTGTATGAAAAATCACGTTTTTAGCTTGTGGACACTCTAGAGGTCACAATTTTGATCCGATTTTGATGAAACTTGCAGTGCATGTTTATAACCCAAAGATCTTGGTTCCTTTCAATATTTGCGCATATCGGATTGTAACTTCCTGAATTATGACCCCTGATTATACGAAAAGTCACGTCTTTAACTTGTGTTCCCTCTAGAGGTCACAATTTTTATCCTATTTAAAAAAATGTCTTAGTATATAACGGTTACACCCTAATGATGGTTGAGTTTGAATTTCGTGAAAATCGGACCAAAACTATCGGACATAATGGCCGTCCCTTGTACTCAAATAGTGTTAACATCTGGTATATCAAGGTTGTGGACCTCCTAGAGGTCACAATTTTGATCTGATTTTGATGAAACTTGAAATGCATGTTTATAACCCAAAGATCTTGGTTCCTTTGGATATTCGCGCATATCGAATTATGGTCCTTCCTGAATTATGGTCGAAAAATCGCATTTTTAGCTTGTGGATTCTCTAGAGGTAACAATTTTTTTCCAATTAGATATATCACCATTCCACCATAATGAAGGTTTAATTCGAATTTCGGGAAATCGAAATGACACTGCTCAACAAAATGGCTGCTCTTTGTTCGCAAATTGTGTATAAGTATATAATGCAAAGATTATGGACCCTCTAGAGGTCACAATTTGTATCCAATTGTGATGAAACTGAACACATATCTTTATATTCCAAAAATCTCAGTCCATTGTGATATTTGCGCATTTCAGACCAAAACTTTCTGGATTATGGCCCCTGATTGTACAAAAAATTGTTTTTGTTTTTAGCTTGTTCTCTATCTTTCTCTTGCAAAATGTGGACATATCCTGCCTGGCTGCCACGGGTTGTCAGTAGTTTTCAGTTTTATCATTTGTTTTAAAACTGCCATACATGTCCTTGTTCAGTTCTAGTGTTTAATATAAAGTTACGTTGTTTTTTAGGTTACAAAACAAATGGATGCTCTAGCCTTATTAGAGGATACAGATAATAGTACATACAACATAGTTATTTTAAGTAAGTACTAATATGTACTGTAAAACCTGTCGCCATTAGCCTACATAATATCTGGCCAAAGTAGAGGGAGGTGCAGTTGGTACATTGCTCTGGGGTTCATAAAGCTCCAGGGAGCCCATAAATATTTTTTTTCTGTTTTTTTTTTGTTGGCATGGCCAGTATTTGTGCCACAGAACCGCTGATCCGATTTCTGATACCCTAATCTGGGTATGCAGGGGTAAAGTT